AGGCACCTGGAAAACCTGAGCACCAAAGCATATTCTAATGGAACCACTGCCCTTTAGTAATGGAGCACAGACAGAGTAGAGTACAGAGTACACTCTGTAGACCAAAGGTCAAGTCAATGACAATCAGAAGAAAAATCAGAATGAGTAGCTCAAGCACGTGTATGTGTGTGTTTGTCTGTGTGTTCATGTGTGTATGCATGAGGAAGCTAGAAGAAAACCTCACATATCATTTCTCAAGAGCCATTTATCTTCACTACATAGACATGTGTATGTGTATAGTGTGTGTTTTGTTCCTGTGGGTGTGTGCACTTATACATGCAAGTGTATGTGTACATATGATTGTGGTGGACATAGGTCAATGTGGCTGTCTTCCTCAGTCGCTGTCTATATTTTGAGGCAGTGTCTTTCACTGAATCTAGAGCTCCCCAATTTGGCAGGACTGGCTCTGGGAGTAACCTGTCTCTGCCCTGGTAGCCCTGGGGTTAGAACATATGCTACCACACCCAGCTTTTTTGTGGGTGCTGGGAATCTGAACTCAGGTCCTCATGCTTAAGCAGCACACACTTTGCTGACTGAGTCATCTTCCCAGGTATGGTATTTTGTTGTTGTTGTTGTTGTGTCATAGTCTTTTACTGGTCTAGACCTCACCAAGTCGGCTTGGCTGGCTGGCCAGTGAGTCACACAGGTCCATCTGTCTCTACTTATCCAGCACAAGGATTAGAAGTGAATACCACTATACCCAGGTTTTTTCATGTGGGTTCTGGGTTTCAAGCCTAGGTCCCCAAGCTCATGTAGTAAGCACTTTACCAACTGAGCCATCTCCCCAGCCTTTGACAAGGATATTTTATGATAACAGCATGTAATATATTTAAGAAACTCAGGGAAGGAAATAGCAAACAAAAATTATAACCCTAAAATGATTTTAAAGATTGAGACTCACAAAAAAATCATTAACATAAGAATATGTAGACATTATTGTTCCCTTAAGTTCTTTCTGAAGAATATGCAAGTGAAAATTTTCAGATCAATTGAAAATGTTGTTGGAGAAGCATCTGCATAAGGACTAACAGTGGATATTGGGCTGGGATTATAGGTAGTACACATCTGTAATTGAATGCCAGCACTGGGGAAGCTGAAGCAGGAGGATTGATTGTTCAAAACCAACCTGGGCTACACAGTGAGAGCCCCCCTCAACTCAAACAGAAAACAAAAGGCTAAGTGGTTCTCAACCTGTGGGTCTCCACCCCTTTGAGGATCATATATCAGATATCTTTCACATCAGATATTTATATTATGACTCATAACAATAGCAAAATTACAGAATATAAAGTAGCAATGAAAATAATTTTATGGTTGGGGTCACTACAACATGAGGAACTCTATTAAAAGGTCTCAGCATTAGGAAGATTGAGAACCACTGGGCTAAATAAATGGTGTGTGATCAAATAGCATATAGTTGAAAATGCTTTAGTAATACATATGATAAATAATTGTAAATGGATAATGCAAACAATATAAAACAATAGCCCCATATTCTCTCATGCTATCCCAATACTTGGCATTTGGGATTTCATTAATTTTTTATTTAAGTGTTTGGTTTTGTTCAACCAGTTTGCAGTATCTTCCTGTGTAAACAAATCCTCTTGTCATCTTCCACTGTAGGCACTTGTCTCCATAGATGCTACAGTAATCATTTGCTCAGTGTTTGCCAGTCACAGAACACATATGTTCAAAAGTATCATTGTGAATGGTGGGAGTAGCATGCTTTGTAGTTCTCGGTATCTTCAGTATTAAAAAAATACTGAAAAGATCAATGGCTCAGATATTACACATCTAGAAACAGACTGTAAATGTTTGAATCACCTATGCTAAAAGCTAGGTTTAAAAGAAAAGACATTCACTGCATTCTGACTCAAGAAACAACTATCAGTAGGCAAATGAAAATAAAGTATGGGATGTTAATATGCTAGGCTACTGTGGTGCAGAAAAGATAATGGATTATGACAATATGCGACAACATGAATAAACCTTAGAAATAATGTTCAATGATAGAAGGACTAGAAACCTCGCCCAGCTAGACTGGAGATATAGATCAGTGGTAGAGGACTTGTCCACCAAGTAGGAGACTAAAAATGGGCAAAATAAAAATATTAAGATAAAAGCAAAGGAAAATAATTGTAATGGATAATTTTTATTCAATTACATTGAAGGCACTGGAGACCCTTTATTGGGGCAGAGGCTGGAAGGTGTCATGTGATTTATTATTATTTGACCTGATTGGGTGATTTCCTCTGTGGTGATTTCAAACAATTAGGTTCTATGTTTGAAACAGTATATAACAAAAAGATCTGTGCAACAATGCATCCTTTAGGTCTAATATTAAAGAAAATCTCACATCATTATAACTGCATACAAGTTACTTTCAATTTTTAAATCCAATCAATTTAATCTGCAAATACACAACTCAGGCATAAACAAGTATGTGTTTAAAATTCATAAAGGATACTACTATTTTCCTTCTGACTATGCTAGTGAATTCTTACATAGTTGTAAAGCAAACTAACAGACTTTGGTGGCCTGCATGCTCTATGGGTATTCCTTTTCACATGGCAGAGAGATTGTATAATCACAAGAATATTGAGGTAGTGTCTTCCCTGCTCTCCTCCAAAGCCACCATAAGAAGATGCACGGTCAGGCCACATTCTCTGCACTGGTTTAAGCAGTAAAGCCTCATAATGTGATTTTAGGAAGATCAGTATCTAACATTAGACATGTGAGTTGGAAAACGTACTCTCAATAACTGCCATGTACTCCACATAATAATATGATTTCCTCAGTAATAAATCTTCTGAAAACACTAGCTATACTGTCTCTGGTGGCTTGGATGAGAGTGTCCCCATAAGGCTCATGTTTTTGAATACTCAGTCCTATCTACTTATGTATAGACTCATTAGTCTCTCCACTGTATATATTATTATGTAGATGTAACATTATTTTGACAGTTTTAAATGAAGTTTGAAGGATACTCACCTGTCCTGTCTTCCTGTCTTAGGTAGCAAGTTGAAGCAGGAGAATCAAGAGATCCTTAATTACCACATTCCCAGCAAGGACAACAGCTGGGGAAAGGTGATGGTCCAAACCATACCCTTGTATGCACTAAAGATAGGAGGGCACTAATGATGGGGTACTGGGGGTTCAGGCAGTGGGATCATGTCTACATTGTCACACATTTATGTTACTTTTCAAATACCTTTAGAATTTAGTTGCCTTTTATTTCTACCTCTAAATCCCATGATTAGTCTTTGTCCATCAAGAAAACTTGAACAGGGAACTGCTTGCTCTTGATTTCTAATTACCTATTTCTCCAGCTTTCCCCTGTCACCCTTCTGAGCCTTTTGTCCTCTAATGTGGACCCCGGGGAAACTGGGGAGAGAAAGGAGTGACTTCTCTGGGCTGGGGTCTGGAGGGAACTTGTCAATGGTGACTGCATGTTTTCTGTTGCTATTGAAGGTGTTTGGCATTCTGGAGAAAGCGAAAGAACAATACGATCTAGAAGACTATGCCATCAGTCAAATCACCCTGGAGCAAGTCTTCCTGTCCTTTGCCAGCCCAGGCAACACAGACACTGGTTATGCAAAAGCAAAAGAGGTGCCTTGAGACTCTGTTACAACCAGTGATTGTGATGTCTTTGTTCAAGTGTACTTGGGTTTGGAGAGGAAATGTGTGTGTGTTTGTATGTATATATACATATATAACATTGTTTAAATATATTTACATAATAAAGTTTTCCCTGTTGGAGAAAATGTATACCCTTCATTATAGACTCAGATGGTCACTTGTGTATCCAGCATGTACACATTTAAAATTGTTGGTGAAATATCACTGTTTTCTCGCCTAAAAATATGAGGAAGCACCACTTACCAGGGTGGAGACAAGGTCTTTTTCTCAAGTATTCTGAGAAGAGACATATTCAAAAAGGATGGCGGTATAGATAGGACAACACGATGCAATAGCATTGTGCTTTTGTGTCTGGTTGTGCATAGGAGGAGGATAAGGACCTGGGGCAAACCAGGACACACACATATTTATGTAAGCACAAGGCTAACGACAAATATTAAAAGTTTAGTTAAATAGCATTTCCCCAAAGTCAAAACAAGAGTCTTTTCACCAAAAACATGCAAAGTCCAAGAACAGAAAGTGTTTTGAGCCACATTCACTTATAATCCTATCAAGAAGGCCAGGAGTTTCCATGTTCTTTGCCTCTTACCTAACGAATTAAAAACAAGGACTCACACTGATTTGCAAAAGTAGCAAGATACACTTGCCCAATCATGCATAGGCATAAGATGTAATTAGGAGATTCTCACTGAAAAAACAAACCTAGCAACAAAATGACATCGAGAAGTCGATTCCTGTTTTATTGCTTTAGCAACAGCACAGCTTTCTTTGGGTTTTCTCCCTAACAGAAAACACGTGTCGGGGCTTCCACTGTCTACTTTCCATGCATCATCGAATCGTCTCAGGTCAGGATCAAGGAAGGTAGATTTTGCTACTTAATTTTCGTCATTGAGATTGGCAGGCGTTCAAAAGATTGACCAAGGCAGCAGGTGTGCCAGTCACACTGAGATTTGTACAGGGAAAGTTTAAAGAGTTACTAACCATGACAGAATATCGTCGATGAATGCAAACATCCAAGGAACAAGCATAGTATAGTGGTGTCCCCTCCCCAGTGTGGGAAAGGTCCTGGGCTCTGGACTGCAGCTATTGCAGAGCTTCTTCATGGAGCAACACTCCCCAGTGCATGAACTGCCTAAGCTGTGGAAACGGCTGTTGGGTCTGGGTTGTTGGCAGGTCCCGCTGAGAAGCAGACAGCTGCAGCTGGCTCTGATGATCCTGGACTGTGAGCGCAAGGGGACGAAGGAACGAAGGCATGGTCCACACTGCTGAGGGCGGGTGCCAGGCCAGAGTCGGAAAAGTGCCAAGCAGAAGACAACCGGAAAGAGAAGCTTCTGCGGTGTTCCTACAGCGCCCTCGTCTGACAACGCATAACGTCACGTTAGTTCCCTCTCTGGTCAACAGTAAATTCCTATCACACACATCAGGGATAGAGAATGTGCGGTGCTTGGCCAGAACTCAGAACCTGTGACTCTCATGAAGCTACACTAGAAGAGGGCATCTGGATGGAGTACAGCCAAGGCGGGTGAGCATTCACGAACCTGCAGAGCAGGAGGACTTATGATATAGAGGTGGAGTCGGCTGAGTGATTGACAGGCTGGTTGATGAACCGTAGAAGAACGGGTGGGGAGTCTAAGCCCTGAGACAGCTCCTGCACATAGGGGCAGGGTTAAGTGGGTTCGGACATGGAAAGGTCTGAGAAGTGTGGCAATTGATCCGGGACTGGGAAGCACGGGAGAGACCGAGAGACGGGGGGGGGGGGGGAGATAAAACCTATGCTTCTGGGGTTATGGACAGACAACCCCACGTTCTGGAAAAGAAGCAAAGGATGATGCATGCTGGGCTTAGTAGCAGGTGATGCTGAGAAGGATTTGGAGCAAGCAGAGGTCTGGGCTCTGACTCTGAGCTCTGGGTTCCAAGCTTGGCTTGTTTGCTCACCTACTGTCCCCTCACCCAACTGCTGTGTATGCTTGCTGCTCCCTACCACCCCTCATATACTGTTTCTCCCTGTATTGATGCATTTGGGGAACAGGAGAAACATATGGTCGTGGCATATGCTCCATGATTCTTATTTCCTGGCTCCCGCTACTCCCAGCCCATCCTCTGCCCCCCCCCCGTCCCCAGCACGTGTCTAAGTCTCTTCCACTGCACCTGACTCTCCTTGACCGTTCACCGCATTTGGCACGTGACTATGGGTCTGCCGGTGTGTCTTGGTTTGCAAGGGGTCCAGGCCATAACTTTGGGAAGGAGAGCACTGTTCTGCAGGACAGTTGACTAAGGCGCTGGGTGCAGGGCGATTCTCAGCAACTAGGGTTTCTAGTGCTTTTCAGTGGATAAGGTGCTAGTGGTTAAAGTTGCTAAATCGGAGCCTTGGCGGTGAGTCCTTCATGCCTTACACTGCTCTCAGATACCCGGGAAGCTCAATTTCCCTTTCTCTGTGTCTCTCTCTGTCTCAGTCTCTCAGTCCCTGTTTCTCTTTCTGCCCACCGCCCCCGAAATTTCTTATTTAAGGAATGGGGGATCTCTATGAGTTTGAGGCCAGCTTGGTCTACAGAGCAAGTTCCAGGACAGCCTCCAAAACAATACAGAGAAGCCCTGTCTCGAAAAACAAAACAAAAACAAACAAACAAACAAAAGGAATGGGGATAATGCCAAAACCACAGCTCAGGGTGTAAGGCCACAGGAGGTTAAAGGCAAAGGGCAGGATGCTCCATCAGTGCCCCTAGAGTTAGATCAACCAGATCTGCACACAGTGAGACCCTGTCTTGAAAGAAGGAAATAAGTCGCACACTTTTCCTTCACCTGGAACACAGAGAATAACGAGACAGTTGAATTGTGTAGGATTTCGATGCAATGGCCTCTGAGATTCACCCTTGTACTCAGTTTTACTCTTGTTATTCTAGTTCCCTGGTATGTTGACAGGTTGTTTGTCTGTGAGTCTGGAGTGTAAATTTTAATCCTCTAAGCTTTCCTGGTAGAGTGATTTTTGCTGCGTCTTGTAAATTTGGTGTGGTGTTTCTATTTCCACTCTTCAGTTGAGGGGTATCTAGGTTGCTTCCAAGGTCTGGTTATTACAAATAATACTGCTATGAACATAGTTGAACAGATGTCCTTATTGTATGAATGCACATCTTTTGGGTATATGCCTAAGAGTGGAATTGCTGCGTCTTGTGGTTGACTGATTCCCATTATTCTGAGGAATCTCCATACTGATTTCAAAAGTGGCTATATGAGTTGACACTCCCACCAGCAGTGAAGGAGTGTTCCCCTTTCTTCACATCCTCTCCAGCATCAACTGTCCTTGGAGTTTTTGATTTCAGCCATTCTGACAGGAGTAAGATGGTATCTCAAAGTTGTTTTGATTTGCATTTCCTTGATGGCTAAGGATGTTGAGCACTTTCTTAAGTGTCTCTTGGCCACTTTAGTCTCCTCTATTGAGAATTCTCTATTTAGTTCTGTACTCTACCTTTTAATTGGATCCTTTGGTGTTTTGGAGACTTGCTTCTTGAGTTCTTTGTAAATTTTGGAGATCAGCCCTAATATCTTTTCCCATTCTGTGGGCTGCCTTTTTGTCTTGTTGACTGTGTCCTTTGCCTTACTGAAGCTTCTTAGTTTCAGGAGGTCCCATTTGTTAATTGTCGATCTCAGTGTCTGTGCTACTGGTGTTATGTTCAGGAAGCAGTCTCCTGTACCAACTTGTTGAAGAGTATCTACCACTTTCTCTTCTAAGAGTTTCAGTGTGGTTGGATTTATGTTGAGATCTTTGATCCATTTGGACTTAAGTTTTGTGCAAGGCAATAGACATGGATCTATCTGCAGTCTTCTGCATGCCAATACCCAGTTATGCCAGCACCATTTGTTGAAGATGATTTCTTTTTTCCATTGTATAATTGTAGCTTCTTTGTCACATATCAAGTGTTCATAGGTGTGTGGGTTAAAGTCAGGGTTTTCAATTCGGTTCCATTGGTCTACCTGTCTATTTTTTTTGCCAATACCAAGCTGTTTTCAGGACCATAGTATATAATAGAGCTTGAAGTCAGGTATGGTGATGCCTCCTGAAGTTCCTTTATTGTATAGGGTTGTTTGGCTATCCTGGGCCTTTTGTTTTTCCATATAAAGTTGATTATTGTTCTTTCAAGGTCTGTGAAGAATTGTGCTAGAATTTTGATAGGGATTGCATTGAATCTGTAGACTGCTTTTGGCAAGATTGCCATTTTTATTATGTTGATCCTACCAATCTAAGAGCATGGGAGATCTTTCCATTTTCTGGCATCCTCTTTAAATATTCTCTCTCTCTCTCACTCTCTCTCTCTGTCTCTCTCTGTCTCTCGTGTACTAGAGTAGTAGTTATATTCCCATTCAACTTTTTTAAAGGTCTTTGAAGTTATTTATCTCTTCCTATATTACCTCCTCAACCCTGCCCTCCCACTCCCTACTCATATTTAACCCTTCCTAATCCAATATTCCCCCCTTTAAATCTTTATACTACCAAGCTCTCTCTTGTGTGTTGAAAATCCTTCCCTCCCCCCAAATTCCCTGACCTGTAGTGGGTGTCCCAAATGAAACACACATATCTGAAGATTCCAGTAATCTTGATTTTCTTTTTAAAAACATCTTTACTTCTTCCAAAGTTGAACTCCCACTAAGTTCAGAAGAATGGCTTCACTGGAGTCCAAAAAACTTTTGATTCTTCTGTGGAAGAACCTTACTTTAAAGGTAAGTTGAACTCTGTATAGTATTGCTGCAGCACTTCAGAGATGGTCAACAGTAATTCTCACATCACAATCACTGCCTTTTAATTTGTACAGTTTTACTTTTCTTGATTCCAGAACTGGGGCTATCTATTCCAAACATAGACTCTACACAGAGTGAGATAATAGTAGAATGTTACAAAGGAGAGAGAAAAATGACAGTCTATGAAATTTTGTCTCTCCCAGTAAAGACTTGCTTATTGGTCACCTGTGTAATCTGAACAAAGTACCTTATTAACTTAATACAAACAAATTGCCATATTTGTTAAATCAATGACCTCTTGGAAAAACTAACATAGCATTGTTCTTCTTTAATCCTTTTAGAGGCGGAAGTTTGGGGCTTTAGTGACTGAAATAGCCCTGCTCCTTATACTCAGTGTTGTGCTTTTGGTGACACGCAGTCTTCTTCCTATAAAGAAGGTTAAATCTTTCCAGTATCCTGATCAACCAGCCAGTGATGTCCCTTCCTTCATCCAAGTTTTCACCACCATTTCTCATCCTTGGGAATTGGCTTATGTGCCTTCCAACAGCATCATGGTAGAGAATATTGTGGAAAATGTGAAAAAGGATCTAAACTTCCATATGAAAGGTTAGTTAAGATCTTCATAAAAGCACATTAGTTATTTTAGCAAAAAACATCTTTTTAACTGGGCCATTATCTTCCACTTGAAGCATTGCAGGCTATCCTCATAACCAAAGATGAGCTTTCTAAGTATACTCTTATAAAATTGGTTAAACTTGGAAGTTAGTTCATATAAATTTTTTCTCTACAACCACCCCTAAAACAAAGTCATATGTTAGCATTAGATGACCAACTGATAGTTTTCCAAGTTATTATCCAATTCTGTGGTGCTAAGTTTCTGGGGCAAGAATAGCATCAGGAGTATTGCTGTGTGCAGCAGGTACACACAGGATAAATGTGTCTTTATTCTGAATTAGTGATCATTTATTTAAAACATGATTACACAATTCATAGAAGATTATATCTGAGTCCATTTTATCTGTGTGTAAAAAGAACCTGAGGCAGGTAGTGTAGAAAGAAAAGAAGTTTACTTAACACATAGTTTTGGAGGTGAAAAGAACAGGATTGGAAACCTTACCTGTTCAGTCCCCACCTGGTGGGGACCATCTTGGCTATATCACAGTGTAGTAGATGGCATTGTGATGGAAGCACATTTGATGGAGAGATCACATGGAGAGAGAGAAGGCTACCAACTACATAAAGCAGGCCCAGGTCAGCTCTTTTCTAAACATCTCCCACACAGGAGCTAACCTGGGTCCTGCAAAAACTTCACTAACCCCTCCCCCAGAGAAATCCCTCCAATGACTTAACCCCTTCCCATACCAACCTCTTAAAGCTCCTACCTCCTCTGAGTTGTGACACTGACAACTGAGCTACAGGCTCATCGGTCTTTGGGAGAACACACTCAAAGCATATCCGGATCACAGTGCATTGACTTAGAGAAGCTATGGAGAATTATTTTCAGTTTCCAGTTCCTCACCTTCACACTCTCAGACCAATTTCTCCCATTTCTTATAGCGGCAGATACTATTAGAAATGTTGTGGACTTCCCTCTAGTATTGTCCTCTCCTTAAATAAGCATACAGTCCAAATCCTCTACCTCAGGAGCATCAGAATCAGGGTCCTAAATCTGTAACCTCCACCTTCCTTCTTCCTCAGAGCATGCTATATCTCTGTTTTCTGATCAGCACAGGAATGGTTCATTTTTATGCAAGCATGAATGAATATTAAACCACCATAGTCACTTAAAGACAGGTTTTTCAAAGGGTGAACCCAACAAAGGTTTCCTATATTTATTGGATAAAAAAGACAGGCTAAAATGATGGAGTGTTCCTTAGAATGGACTGTTTTTGTTGTTTATGAATTTGCTTACAAAAGTGAATGGAACAGAGTAGTTGAAGGAACTGGCTTCATGATAATTCTGGTGAGATGCAGAAACAGTGTCACCTGGAAGCACAGTTGACAAGTGTGGAAGAGAGTGTTTTGAGAGTGGGAACTCTGAAGCAGGAGAAAGCACCTCTGGTGACAATGCCAGCACCATCTATAGTGACGACAGTGGAGATTGTCTTGTATGTCTCTGGGAATCAGGGATTTGAGACGGAAAAATTATACCAAAAAAGCCATTTCTGTCTAAGGGGTAAACCTACATAGAACTTGATTTTCCACTGCAGCAGCTGTTAGGTCTTTGACATTCTGTTTACATCAATCATGCTTTTGATTCTAGGGAAATCCTTTGGGGTATACAATGTACTGTGTACAAATGTACTGTATATTAAATAACTAAAATTTTGACTTAGGAAAATATAAATTATACCTTTTCTAATGTCAGTCAGGTTGAATTTCAAAATTAAATTCGTTGATTGAAAAAATCTCAATTATTGAAATATACTCGCTTCAAACATTAAAATCATGAGGTGGATTCATTCCCCAACTTTTGCATATTTTTAATTCAGCTATTAAATATCATGGAACAATGATATAACACCTTTTCCCCAATTTCCCCTCAAACTGGAAACTTCATAACACCGGGGCCCTTTTGTCACTTGGCTTACTCCAGCAAATGTCCACAACTCCCTCCCATCTTACAGGTAGGAAGCAACACTGTCAGTCACTCTGCTTTCCCAGACTTTTCCTCTCTCTTCAGTTACAGGATTTTCTTCAGAAATTGATTTTGAAGACTACATTAGGTCAACTGTCAACTCTAAACATGTTCTGGCTGCTATTGTGTTTGACCACAGCTTCACAAACAGCAATGATCCCCTGCCAAAGAAGGTGAGAAGGTTTTCCACAGAAGCCGTATAGCTGGGGGCTGGAGAGATGGCTCAGGGGAGAACATAGTGTATTGCTCTTCCAGAGGACCTGACTTCAGTTCTTGACACTCACATTGGGCAACTCATAACCATATGTATCTCCAGCTCCAACAGATTTGACACACCCATGTGCATGTATACTCCCACACAGAAATACGCAAGTATACATAATTAAAACTAGAATAGTTTTTTTGGTTTTTTTTTGAGACAGGGTTTCTCTGTGTAGCTTTGGAGCCTTTCCTGGAACTCGTAGATCTTGAATTCACAGAGATCCGCCTGCCTCTGCCTCCTGAGTGCTAGGACTAAAAGGTATGCACCTCCACCACCTTCTGGCTAGAATAAATATTTTTAAGAGAAGCCTCATACCTGTACTTCTGATTTCTAGAGAGTTCATAATGAAGAAAATAACTTACCCCTTGACCGTTGAATGGACTTGGGTCCAAACCTAACTAATTCCACTGTCTATTACTCTGCAAAAAGAAAAGAATGTATTTGCTGCCTATCAGGCCTTCTCCATGAAATGGGGTCTTGGGAAATACAGATAGTTAAGGGTATTCGGCTGCTGTGTCTGATGTGGCAGCTGTATGCACCCTGCTAATGCTGCTGAAGTAAGTACATGTTTCCTAAGTTAAAATGCTTGCTATGATAAAGTGGGTGTATCTTCACAAATGCTAAGCATGCCTCCTTTCGTTGGGTAAAGGTCACAGGTAGATGCCCAGTAATAAGTGAATATTCGAATGGGGTTTCAAGACAGAAGTTTTGAGAACTTATTATGTGGTCAAGGACAGATCCTGTTCCTCAAGGAACTAAATTGTAGTTGAGAACACATGTGTCTTAGGGTTTCTATTGCTATGAAAAGACACCATAATCATGGCAGAGGGAGACATTTGATTGAGGTGGTGGCTTACAGTGTTAGAGGGTTAGTCCATTATCATCATGGCAGGGAGCTTGCCAGATGTAGGCAGACATGCTACTGAAGAATTAGCTGAAAATTCTACATCTTTCAGGCAACAGGAAGTGAACTGTCACACTGGATGTTATCTTGAACATATCTGAGACCTCAAAGCTCGCCTCCACAATGACACACTTCCTCCAACAAAGCCAAACATTCTAATAGTACCACTCCCTTTAGGGGCCATTTTCTTTCAAACCAGCACATGAATTCACTAGGTCACAGTGAATCAGAAGCAGGACTTCTACAAACACTGGGGATGATTCTGATAACTGCACCCAAGAGGAGAGACAAAGACGGTGTTTTGAATTTAATGTCCCTGGTATTGAGGGAAATAAACTATCGAATATAGATGTGTATGGAGACAAAACTCTGTGTTCAAGGTACAAACAGCTGTCAATGGGAGGTAAAGTGGCATCTTCAGCTAGGGTTATTGGTTTCTCTTTATTCTGTTTTGTCACATTGGTACTTCCATATGTCACCTATGCTCAAGTTCCTGGCTCCTTGAAAACTGATGTAAGCTTATCAGTGTACAGAAATGTTTTCACTGCAGTTTCAAACATCCCCCCTTCTGCCTTCAGTTCATAGTCTCCCTTGTCCTGTCCAGCTGCTTGTCTTACTCTGGCCCTTTATGAGTATGCTGGGCTCCATACTGTCTCCCAACCATGCAACTTCTTTCCTCTTCCACCTTTCCATAAATATTCTAAACACATCTTTATCACCAAATTTGAACTTAACATGATTATATATATATATATATATATATATATATGTATATATATATATCTTTCAGGCATTTTAGATTCCTCTATTGAGAATTCTCTGTTTAGTTCTGCACCCCACTTTTAAATTGGATTGTTTGGTGTTTTGGTGGCTAGCTTCTTGAGTTCATTGTATAGTTTGGAAATCAGCCCTCTGTCAGGTGTGGGGTTGGTGAAGATCTTCTCCCATTCTGTCAGCTGTTGTTTTGTCTTGCTGACTGTGTCCTTTGCCTTACAGAAGCTTCTCAGTTTCAGGAGGTCCCATTTATTAATTGTCGATCTCAATGTCTGTGCTATTGGTGTTATGTTCAGGAAGTGTTTACCTGTACAACTCATTCAAGGGTACCTCCCATTTTCTCTTCTAAGAGGATCAGTGAGGCTCATTTATGTTGAGGTCTTTGATCCATTTGGACTTAAGTTTTGTGCAGGGCTATAGATATGGATCTATCTGTAATCTTATACATGTCAACATCCAGTTATGCCAGCACCATTTGTTGAAGAGGCTTTCTTTTTTCCATTGTATAACTTTAGTTTCTTTGTCAAATATCAGGTGTTCATAGGTGTGGGGGTTAATATCAGGATTCCTATGTTTCCTTGTTAAGTTTCTGACTGGTGGTTCTGTCTAGTGGTGAAAGTGGAGTGTTGAAATCTCCCACTATAAGTGTGTGGGGTTTTATGTGTGATTTGAGCTTTAGTAATGTTTCTTCTCTGAATGTGGTTGCCTTTGTATTTGGGGCATAGATGTTCAGAATTGAGACTTCATCTTGATGGACTTTTCCTGTGATGAATATGAAATGACATTCTTCATCTCTTTTGATTGATTTTAGTTTGAAGTCTAATTTGTTAGATATTAGGATTAATACACCAGCTTGTTTCTTGGGTCCACTTGATTGGAAAATCTTTTCCCAACCCTTTACTCTGAGGTAATGTCTGTCTTTGACATTGAGATGTGTTCTTGTATGTAGCAGAAGGATGGATGCTGTCTTTGCATTCATTTTGTTAGCCTGCGTCTTTTTATAGGCAAGTTAAGACCATTGACATTGAGGGATATTAATGACCATTGATTATTAATATTTGTTTGTTTTGGTTTTTTGGTGGTGGTGTTATTGTGTGTGGATTTCTACCCTTTTTTTCTTTTGGTGTTTGGTAAAGTGGGATTATCTATTGCCGATTTTTTTGTGAGTGTAGTTATCTTCATTGGTTTGGAGTTTTCCTTTCAATACTTTCTGTAGGACTGGATTTGTGGATTTGTATTCTTTAAATCTGGTTTTGACATGGAATATCTTGTTTTCTCCATCTATAGCAATGGGTATTATTGTAGTCTGGACTGGCATCCATGTTCCCCTAGCATGTGTAGAACATCTATCCAGGACCTTCTGGCTTTCAGAGTTTCCACTGAGAAGTCCAGAGTGATTCAGATAGATCTGCCTTTATATTTAACTTGGCCTTTTTCCTTTGCTGCTCTTCATATTTTTTTCTTTATTCTGTAAGTTTGGTGCTTTGATTATTGTGTGGCAAATGGACTTCTCTTTGTGATCCAGTCTATTTGGTGTTCTGTACACGTCTTGTACTTTCACAGGCATATCCTTCTTTAGGTTGGGGAAGTTTTCTTCTATGGTTTTGTTGAATATGTTTTCTGTACCCTTGAGTGGCTGAGGTGTGGTCACACCCCAAGTGTTCCATCCTGCTGGGTCAGGCCCACAACAGTGGAGTGGACCCAACAAGTTCCAATTGGTGGCTAGTGGGTGGGGGGTGGCAGGAGAGCCCACACTCACCTCAAGCAGAGGCAGAGGGCAGAAGATTGGTGATCTTTACTAACAGTAATTATGCAACTTTCACATTTCTATCTTAACTCCTTCCTTCTCTGTCCTCCTCAACCACTTTTAGGAAAGGAAGAGTTTTGTCTTTAAGAATAGTTGGCCAACATAATGGGACATAAATTAATACTCCCTTTTGGAATATTCCATTTCAGTATGCATGTCAGATGACCTCCTAGGGACAATACATTCATTATATTCATGAGTTCCCGCTGTGTTTGCTTACTACAAACCTACATCAAAAATCCAACAGTTGTTGACACATCAAAATATCTTACATGTGATATGCTATATGACAGGTTCACAGTCACTTTCTGAAATCTAGAATCTATGAAGATACTCATCAATCTACCCTCAGAATTCTTGATACATTTTAAGAGTCATTTTGTTTCTGATTGCCATATTTTTCTCCCTTTTTTACTTTAAATATATAATTTGTTTTTATTGCTTCTAGGTAAAATACTACCTGCGTTTTAGTAGTGTTAAAAAGAACATTAATTCTGGGGCATATTTTCAAGGGCACAGCTGGTTCACAAATTTGCTCTTCCCACCTGTGCATCTTCTGGGACCCAGAAACCAATTTGATGCAGATGGAGGCAGTCCTGGTGAGCAGATGTTTACCTTACTTATCTTACTATCCCACTGTGTTGTAAGATGGACAAATTTATATTTTTTCAGTCCTGTGGTGACAAGTGCTTAATTAATTAATTTAATACATTTTAAATTAAAACAGAATTACATCACTTTTCCCCTTCCCTTTTCTTCCTCCTGCCCCTTTCAGGTAACCTCTCTGCAACCCATCCCATTGCCCCTGCTCTCAAATTGATATTTTCTTTTTGTCTGATTATTATTGTTTTAGATAGATAGGTAGATAGATAATTAGATAGATAGGCAGATAAGACAGACAGACAGATAGATGCAAACTGGCATAGCTATTTTAATATCTTAATAAAATAAACCAGATCAAAACTAATCAGAAGATATAGGGAAAGACAGTACATATTCATATTCATCAAGGGAAAAATTTACCAAGATGGTATTTTAATCTTAACCCCCAAACACAAGGGCATCTAAGTTTGTAAATGAAACACTACCATAGCTTAAATCACATATTAACCCTCACACACTGATAGTGGGAGACTTCAAGACCCCACTCTCACCAATAGACATGTCATCCAGACAAAAACTAAACAGAGAAATGCTGAAGCTATCAGATATTATAAACCCAATGGATCTAACAGATATTTACAGAATATTTTACCCAAACACAAAAGAATAAACTTCTCTGTATTGCATGCCTGCACCCCTAACCCATAAGCAGTCTCCAAACTGATCACCACTTGCCAATGAAAATTTAGTTTCCTCCAAAAGAGTCCATGGGCAAAACAAACTACTCTTAAGGGTAGGCTGCAGGCCCAGCAGTAGATGGCCAACAGAAAATGAACTCAATGGCATCTTTGGAGGGTTGTGATTTTGGTTTTTTGCCTCATAATGTCATGTCAGGGCTTTTTCTTTTCTCTCAAATTTTACTTTATTTTCAATTTTTATTTTCATTATATATATGTATCTATACATACATAATTACATATATATGTATGTATTAGGATATATCTCTTCTAGTTTAGTGTTTTTACTGGATTCCTGAATGTGTGAATGAGTGGGTCTCTGTTTCTTGTGCCTTCTCCTAGGTTCTTTCCCTTTTATTTGTTTTATTCTATTCTGATGTCTTACTTTTTGTTTTATCTTATTATTTTTCATTATTACTCCTTAAAAGCCTGTTTGTTTTGTAATAAGTGACAGAAAGGGTATAGATTTGGATAGGAGGGGAGATGAGAAGTAACTGGTAGGAGTAGAGGGAGACATTTTATATGAGGGAAAATATCTACTTTTGATATTTTGCTTGAATCACAAGCAGTTTCCATAGATTAGAGGAGACCATATTAGCTTGATAAGTAAATGCAGTGCTGTATTCTGTGCAGGAAACAGGAACAGAAAAGAAACACTGAGGAAAGACTAGTGAAATGCAAATTGAGTTTACATATTACAAATAGTATTGCACCTGTGTTAAGCTCTAAATTTTGAGAACTGTGCTGTGATAGCATAGCATATGAGGCTAAGGAAGCATGATGCAGGGTTGATGACACTTTTTCTCAGTCTTTGCATTATTGCCCTGCTAAGAGCCTTATGGAGCTTTAAAAAATCTATTCCTTCCCTCTCATGAAATTTCAACATCACAGACTTCTGTTTATGCAGGATGGCATGGGGTGATCCAGACTTCCTTTGAGGACCCATGACATACAAAAACCCTCTGTACTGCCTTTGTAATTTTCCATCATATTTATTTTTCCAACATGAAATCATATTTTTTAAAACTAACCCCAAACTCCCTAACCCAAAGGTACCAATAAAAGTATATCTTCTCTATCCAATAAAGCACATCTGTGGAGAATGTGTGGCTTACTAATTCAACATTGTGTGTTCCCCTCCTAATGTCAGGAAATAAGCAAATACAATTTTTTTCTCACCAATTCTGTGCAGCAAATTACTCTAAATTCTTCTTTATACCAGAAAGAGAAAACAGACATAACACTTGAGAAAGAAAGAGCTACACCATCTTTATTCACAGCATATGAACTCATTCTGTGTTTGTATGGAGAAACTGTGAGGGTTTCTCAGGACCGTAGACCAAGGAGAAAGCCTGATTAAAATTAGCTTGGCTTTTTCCCAATGACATACAGTCTTGTGTCACCTAACAAGGGCATAAGCTCTCAGAAAGACATTGCTAAACATCTCCCATCTCATCATGTGAACATCACAGTGATTTCACACAGCTAAGGTAGCTGTATCACTTTGTCATTGATAACAAAGTTATGAGATCACCTTCATTGACAGAATATTCAAATATAATATATTGCAGTATATGAATTACTGTTTTTCTTTGTTTAGCTCAGATTTTGTTAGTCATTTTACTTAGCAATCTTTATTTTCTCATTTAGGGTACATCAGTGAAGGGTTCCTGGCTGTGCAACATGCCTTAGACAAGGCCATCATGTTACATCATGGCGGTGCTGCTGCAACAGCACTCTTTAATGATATTAGCCTATTCATTCAGAGATTTCCATACCCTGAATATCATCATGATTTCTTCTATACATTTGCTAATACTTTTATCCCTCTAATAATGGCATGTACCTTCTTTATGAATTATCTCACCCTAGTTCAGTCCATTGTATGGGAAAAGGAAAACCAATTGAAGGTAACTATTTTTCTTTATTTATTTATTTATTCACTTATTTAGTTTGGTTTTTGAGACAGGGTTTCTCTGTATTTCTTTGGAGCCTGTCCTGGAACTTACTCTGTAGACCAGATTGGCTTCAAACTCACAGAGATCTGCCTGCCTGCCTCTGCCTCCCAAATACTGGGATTAAAGTCTTGTGCCACCAATACCTGGCTAACTATTTTTCTTGTAGACAGCATTTACATTGGAAATTTTCAAAGTGTGGAATGAATTTCTGTGGAAGGTTGAATTATCTATTCATGTCCAGAACTGATAGTTCTGTTTCACTTACAGCCATTCAACACTTGCATTTGTGGCAATTCTCTATAATTTTGTCTTCATTCAAATTTTTAGTATGACTCTTAGTTTCAGTGTATGGAAGACTACTTTATGCAGCATTCCAGATATTATTTGAATATCAACTATCCCCAAACTACTCAATGTGTCCGGTCCAGGCAGTTTTTGAATACTGATTTGATCTCCTTAGTAGTTATAAGTATTATCATCCAGGCACACCTTGACCCCAACCCTTGGGAACTGGCACATGGCAATCAGTACCCTGGCTCTATGCAGGCGCAAAGGTCCCTTTAAGAGACAAGTTCTGCCCACTCCTGCTCTCTTTCTGCCATTTCTCTGAGGAGGTAGGTCTCTCTGTCTCTCTTTCCCTACTCCCTTCCCTTTCCCAAGATAGCTTCTCTGTCTGCCTGGCATGTTCATCCTGCCATGGGATCCGCCAAGATCCCCCTCTTGTCGCATATCAGAACAGTAAGTCTGGACAATTATTCTGTTCTTCTGTTATCTGATCTTGATAGGTATTGCGTTCTTACACATTTCCCTATTTTCTCTCCACTATTAAAATTTTTGTTTGCCATTCAGCAGGTTGTGATAATCTTGTGACTCATTTCTGTAAAATTAGAAATAATGCTCCAATTCTCCTTCTGGTTTTGAGTAATGAATTTTCTCAACTTTGTCATGTCAGTCTGGCTAATTTCTGTCATTTTGATTAATTTTGGTGTTGTTGACTTTTCTCTGTTGTTTGTATCTTCTCTAATCTGGGTTAACTTCTCCTTCTGTACCTGTGTCTAGTTTTCTAGGCTCATGGAGTACAGTTAGGCTATTTGAAGTAGTTGTTTCTTTTTTTACTTAGGCCTCTAGCTGTGAAGTTCTCTCTCATCCCTGTTTTCACTGCATCCCATAAGCTTTGATATACTGTGTTTTTGTTCTCTACTTTTCCTTGGTATTTCTTCACTGGTTGTTGAAGGATACATTCTTATTTTCTACCTGTTAATGATTTTTTTTCAGTTTTCCTGTTATTGTTTTCCAGTTTCATCCCTTTGTGATAAGAAAAGATACTTCATTTAATTTCAGGCTCAAAAGAATAAAAGAGTAAAATTTAAAATTACAATGGGCAAAGTAAATTTAAAAACTAAGAGAAGTAAAAAATAAAATATATTAAGACTTTCATTATAGGCTAACATTTATTCTGGAGATGATTCAGGACGTGTGTCTGGGCCCACCAGTTAATCTAGGTTCATACCAAAGAAGAGGAGTTCAAATTGAGGAAAAAGGCCAACAAGAAACAAGAGATAGAGTCAGAAGGGCAGTCAGTAAATACTGAATTCACCCAAGTTTTTATGTTCAATGTTTTTTTTTGCCCCCATTAAAAAAGGGGGAGAAGGCAAAAGACTTCCTTTCCAATGATACAAGGAATAAACAGGGTAATTGCCTCTTCAATACCCAAAGCATCAAGTAACTGTATCCTGAGTTAAGTATTCTGTTGTTTGGGCAGGACATGCAGTGACTGCACCTTAAGCCTAGTATCCTGTTGCATTTATACCTTTTTTTCATTTTTTGTTTAAATTAGAAACAAGCTTGTTCTACGTGTCAATCCCAGTTGCTCTCCCTCCCCTCCTCCCCTGCCCCTCACCGACCCCCTCTCCCATCCCCTTTCTGCTCCCCAGGGAGGATGAGGCCTTCCATGGGGGATCTTCAAAGTCTGTCATATCATTTGGAGCAGGGCCAGACATTTGTTTCACCTTGGAGGAGCAAGGGCAGGTAAAAACTCTCTGACCTTAAGTCAAAATGGGATGGAGTAAATTCTGTGGGTTCCCACAGAAGAGATGAGAATTTATTTTGTTCGATTTCATGGTCAGTTAGTTGAGTTCAGTTGGGTATAGTGTTGTTTGTAATCCTCCATTTTTCACTTACCTTCTTTGTGTCCAGTTGTTCTGTTACTGAAAACATTAAAGTCTCTAGCCATAACTCTAACTACAGCACTATTGCCTCATTTAATTCTGTTAGGGTGTTTCTTCATGTATTTTGTCACTGTTGCTTTTGACTAATACACGTCTTTTACTGTAGTATCTTCATGATAATATAGCCCCTTTTCAAAACACAATATAATATAAATGATTTCTATAATAGTTTTGCTTTAAAATTATTTTTTGTTTGATATCACTGCTGTCACTTCAACTCTGTTTTGGTGTCTGTTTCATAGGATATATTTTGTCTTTCCATTTCAGTTCAATTCTATTGTTAGATATGAGGTGAACCTCAAATAAACTCACAAACATATTGAATGATGTTTATATCCAATGGTTCTGGAATACCCCATTGTTTGTTTGTAAGTACAGTGGATATACCAGAAGCCTGAAATAACAGAATATGATCTGTATCCCAAGAGAATTAAATTACATATTTAATAAGAGTCACATAAATAGGAAAACACAAATATTTAAACATTAAACCAAAACTGGATATGAAACAGTCACAGAACACATCTCAGAGAACAGAAAAGGCCTGAATAATACAAAGCATGTTTTTCTCTGAGAACAGCAGAGTGAAGACTAGAATTCCTGTTATCTATTCAGTTACTGGATATAGGTTCTATGGTGACAATTAGGAGAGTCACTAACCCACTCTCTATGGTGGGATGCGTTGCTCAGCCTTGATACAGAGAGGAGGGGCTTGGTCCTGCCTCAACTTGGTATGCCAGACTTTGTTGACTCCCAAATGAAGGCATTGCCATCTCTGAGGAGTGGCTGAGGGTTGGAAATGATGGGAGGTGGGGGGGGGGTTGGTAGGTAAAATGAAAAATAAATTTTTAAAATAAAAAACTCTGTTATTTGGCAATTAAACTTATAAATAACATACAAATCAAAGAAAAATAAAAGGTGAAACCTGTTAGCAAATGTGTAGTTTATCGAGATTAATGGTATACATCTAAGATGAGCTGTAAGGTGCACTCACTTCAGTGTGTATGGAAACCGGGTAATGTTATGGTTTCTTCAAGACTGTTTTGAATGTCCATATGTTTATGTGCAAGTGCAAGAGCCTACATGCCACACCATGCTTACTTGTCAGAGGACAGCTTTGGGTATTGGTTGTCACTTTCCAACTTGCTTGAGACAGAGTGTCTTTGTTGTTCATGGCTGTGTACACCAGGCTGGCTCCTGAGCCTTTGCCACCCCTAATCTTGCCATAGGAGTACTAAAATTACTGACATGCTGCCTTTCCTATTTTATGTAGGTTCTTAAGGATTCAAGTAACTATGTACAAAGGTTTTTGAAAAGTGATTGTGTTCAGTTCATAAACTAATTTAAGGGATCTTACTGTATTAGCAATAGTAACTGTTCTGGTTGATGAAGTGGGGATCTTTGCATTTATTCAGACTTTCTGTCGTCTCATTCAACCATGGTTTGCATTGTCCACGTACAAGTCTTGCACTACTTTTGCTAAATGTACTTTGTCGCTTTAAGTGCTTACTAAATTTGCTAAGTAAAGATCTGTAAGATAGATCATAGGTAGAGGTACTTACACACAGGCCTCATGACCTGAATTTTATACCTGGTGACAGGAGAGAGCCAACTTGAAAACGCTGTCTCCTGACTTCCATACGCACCATGACACATGCATATCTGCATGCACAGACATGTGCATGCACACTAACACAAAAACAATCAAATAATTTTTCAGAGTGAATCTGTTTCCAGTATTGTACTCTAGAAAACTGAATGGCACATTTTATCTTGTTTTTGTCTCTTAGAGGTAATAACATGAACCTGCAACAACTCTAAAGAAATTTGGATAGTGTGCATATGTTTATAGATCTTTACAGTCATACATTCATTAATTCAAAAGACATTCATTGAGAACCTTGCATGGGGGGGCTATAACCATAGAACTTAAATATTGACATATTAGTAAAATTCAATGAAAATATTTCAGACCTCTCAACTGACTTCTCTTAAACTATACTAACATTATATTCTATGTTAAATGCTTTGAATATTCTTTTGTTAACACTCAAAATACCTCATATTTCTATAAACAAATACATCTGAAGAAAATTGTTCATAAGGATTATTGCTAAAGCTGTGAACGTTGTTCTCTTTTCATCTAAATTTTAACACTTTCAATTTTTATGATTGAATTTAAATATTTTATATCTTTTTCTAGAACTATAATTATAAGAGATATATTTAAGTGGTTTGTAATTTTGTTTATATGCACTCTGTATCTTTAATAGTATCAGGGAATTATAAAAACTACAGGACTCACTCATGAGCTGAACAATTTTAATGAAATGACAGGAGATCCTGGGCCAAGTTATATCCTCTATGACTTGGAAACTTGGGTCATAAATATGAAATTTTATATGATATGTCAGTACATTTTGAGAACTCTAAGGTACTGTGTGGTTGAATGTATGTGTGTTTATGGTACTGAATTTTTGACAATTCTCCCACAGGAATACCAGCTCATGATAGGACTGAGCAACTGGATGCTCTGGGTTGCCTATTTCTTCACGTTCTTCTGTTTGTATTTTATTAACATCGTATTTATATGCGTGGTTTTATTTGTCAAGGCAAGTGTCTTTTTCACTCCAGTAAGATGTGGCTAAACTTTAAGAGGGAAACAGAAGTATAGAACTATCTTAACATCTCTGGTGCTGAGAACGGAAAATTTAGCGTGTGTGGACTTCATTGTAGAATCTCAGAGGCTGCTTGGTCTCTTGGCAGAATTCAATTAAAGTCTAGGTGGGTTGACCTTCTGTTGAGAAATGAGTTGTTTGATGCTGGAGACAGGCTTTTTTAAAGATCCTTACCTGACATGTATAAATCCCGGCCTAAGCAGAGAGTAATAATGCATGTCTGCAATCCCAGCAAGCCAAAGTGTGTAATCATCAGCTACATACACTGTAAGGCTAGTCTGGTCTCTGTGAGCCTCTGTCCAAAATAAGTGTTCATTTTTCATCTTCCTGAGTATGTCACTGGTGTTGGCAAGAAATAATAAAATATTTAAGGATATTTATTTTCTTATGATTTGTCATGATAACGTATCACACAGGACTAAACTGGATTTCTAATTATTTTGCTAGATTGAACCTGCACCAATCTTCCAATATAATGACCCAATCCTTGTATTCATCTTTTTGTCATTTTATGGCATCTCATCAATATTCTTCAGTTTTATGATTAGCGCACTGTTTAATAGAGGTAAGTACATGTTTCCTCTTGGGAAAGAGCCCCAGCAACAAGACAAACACTGTGTTTGAAAGCGCCTTCTAAATGTTATCTACCACCACACCCATAGCCTCTGCGCTCTGAGATGGCCTGTACCCTTGTAATTACATGAAATGGAGTGAATGCAGAGTGATAGTTCACACCTGCAATGCTAGTACGTGTGAGACAGAAGTAGGGAGATCAGGAGTCTGTCTATAAACATCCTCAACAGTATAGTTAAGCTTGAAACCAGCCTGGACTATATGGGATTTTGTTTTGTTTTGTTTTGTTTTTAAAATGAGGTGATAAGCACAGCATTCATGTGATAGTATGATCCTATTTGGGTGTTCTTTCTAACCCTGAACTGCCTATTATATCCACCTAGCCCTTCCATCAGGAATTGTTGAGATTCTGACAGCTTCTGAACTGGAGAGAACAGAGTCTGCTAGTATATCTGATGCTGAGAAAATCAAGACAACAGCAGAATGGTTCCTTGCACTTAAATGTGTGCTGTTAGTCTGTTATGTATTTGAAGTGCGGTTCCTGACCACACAGAACTGGCATTGGTCTCTGGAGTAGGGATATCATATGTACATAATTTACTGTAGAGTTCTCTAAGGAAGTAGAAACAATGGAAGATAAAGGGGTATTATGATGAATTGGTTTGTTTGGTTATGGAGGCCAAAAAATGACCCCATCTGAAATCTGTGGCCAATGGATCCAAGAAAGCCAGTGAGTGATTAATTCCAGTATGTGTCCTAATGAGAGGAGCCAGTGGGGTCAGGTTAATCCCAAGGCAGGATAAGACTAGTGTTTTGACCATGAAGGAAGTCAGTAAGGTTTTCATATAAGGTAAGTCCACAAATTGAAATGCTGACCTAGACTAGGGGTACACAGACACACCCGGAAATAATGTTCAATCCATATATCCCACAATACATTCAGGGTGACATGTGAAACTAGCCACCAGAAGACATGCTGAGAACTATGAAAATTAGCAAATCACAGCACACACACAAAATGGTCATAGATCACAATATTGCAAGTGAAAGTGGACTTAAGAGGTAGCAGATAGATTTTGAAGGATTTTTGAAGTATTGAAAGATGAGAGTAGAACATAGAATCAATAGATATTCACTCCATTCATTCACTCACATGTTCTTTCTTTGTGTTACATACTTTGTGCTTAGCATGGTCTCTAACAACAAAGTCAGATAAAAAATTTGTCCTAACCCTTTGAGGGTTCACATGCCAATGAATTGTTTTGAAATTATAGTCCCACTGCATGTGTGATACCCTAGATTTAGTTTGCAGCACCAGAAAAAGAGAAACTAGTATTAAAATTGCATTTCATCAGTTACTAATGATGCTTATGTGTGTGTTTACTAATGAGTTAGGAGTGTTTTCTCTTCTGGAAAATTTAGCCATATTGGACAGGTATGGTAGCACACACTTATAATGCCTGCATTTGAGAGGTTGAAGCAGAAAGAGTACCAAAAGTTGGAGTCTAGCCTAGTCTACATAATGAGTTCCAGGCAGTCAGGGATACACAAGAAGACTGTATCTCAAAAAAAGTTATTTACAATATCCTTCTTTGTTTCATAAAGTTCTGAGAGTTACTTCACTCTCTCTGGTATGGATGACTTTTTCTAGACTCATGATTAATTTGTATCTTTGATTTCCAATACATTCTGCTACCTTTGCCTTTCCAGAATTTAACTCATGCCATTGTATTTAATCCATTTGCACAAGTATAGTAATGAGTAATCAGGAAGGATTTGCATCTGTCATTCAGCCATTTATTTTAATTTTTTATAAATTTTTATTTAAATTAGAAACAATCTTATTTTATATATCAATCTCAGTTCCCTCTCCCTCCCATCCTCCCATGTTCCCCCACTGACCCCCCTATCCACTCCAAGGGAGGGTGAGGCCTTCCATGAGGGATCATCAAAGTCTGTCACATTATTTGGGGCAGGGCCTAGGCCCTCCCCAGTGTGCTTGAGCTGAGAGAGTATCCCTCCATGGGGGAATGGGCTCCCAAAGCCCATTTGTGCGCTAGGGATAAACAGTGGTTCCACTGCAGAGGGCCCATAGACTGCCCAGACCTCCAAACTGACACTCACATTCAGGGAGCCTGGTTTGAACCTATGCTGGTTCTCTAGCTGCAGACTGGGGTCTGTGAGCTCCCACTTGCTCAGATTCGTTTTTTCTGTGGGTTTCCCCAGTGTGGTCCTGACCCCTTTGCTCAGCCATTTATTTAATATATTCCTCATGTTTTTCTCCCTTGTATCTTTCACTTTGATCCCCATCTCATTTTTTCTTTTATTTAGCTTCTGACTATTTTCTTTTGTAAATTATAATTAATGCCATAATCATGAGGCATTTATGACTTTGGCTTCCATAACATTTTTTAAAAAGACTTTTGTTGAGCTCCAGAAAATATTAATAGTATACCCTCTCTTTTCAGAAAGATACTAGAGTGAGAATGTTTTCCCCAGCTTTTGATTTGTTACTAGTAAGTGATATAATAATAATAAAATTATTAAGGACTCCAATGTCCTGATATGTGGTCTCAGAACCAGGAAGTCTCTCTTGGATTCATAAAGGATGGCTTTGCCTCATATAGAATTCTTGGTTGACAAGTTTTTGTCTTGTTTTCACAATGTCACTCTAATGATTTGTGACTTCTGTAGTCCAAGAGGGAAATATGCTGTAGTCTTATACTTGACAGAATTATCTCCCTTGCTATTTTATAGCCTTTTGTTTTGTTTTCTCATGCTACTATGTAACCCAGGACCTCAGGTACACTAGGGAAATAGACTACTATGGAGTGATGCCCTTGACACTTTATTTTGCCTGTTCTTGGGCTTAGGAACTTGAATAGTTCTATTTAGAATATGTCTCAGTGTAAGCTTCTTCTACCATCCTATTTAAAGTGGTATTTTTGTTTTGTTTAGATGAGGTTTATGCTTTTTTATTTTATTTTTTATGTTATGCTTGTTTTACATGTCAATCCCAGTTCCCTCTCCCTCCCCTCCTCCCGCACCCCTCACCATCCCCCCCATCCTCCCACCCTATTGCCAATTCCTTCCGCATAGGGGATATCTAGAGTCTATCATTTCATTCAGGGTAGGGTCCAGGCACTTCCCTAAGAGTCCAGGCAGAGAGAGCAACCCTCTTTGTGTTAAGGACACATGATGTCTGTTAGTATTCGAGCGATAAACACTGATCCACTGCTCAGGACCCCATAGTTAGCCCAGGCCTCCTCATTGACTCTCACATTCAGGGGGTCTGGATCGGTCCCATGCTGGCCTCTTTTGTACATGGCGATAAACATGGATCTATCTGCAGTCTTCTGCATACCAGTACCCAGTTATGCCAGCACCATTTGTTGAAGATGCTTTCTTTTTTCCATTGTATAGTTTTAGCTTCTTTGTCAAAAATCAAGTGTTCATAGGTGTGTGGGTTAAAATCAGGGTTTTCAATTCAGTTCCATTGGGCTACCTGCCTATTTTTGTGCCAACACCAAGCTGTTTTCAGGACTAGAGCTCTATAATAGAGCTTGAAATCAGGTATGGTGATGCCTTCTGAAGTTCCTTTATTGTATAGGGATGTTTTGGCTATCCTGGGCCTTTTGTTTTTCCATATAAAGTTGATTAATGTTCTTTGCGGGTCTGTGAAGAATTGTGCCAGAATTTTGATAGGGATTGCATTGAATCTATAGACTGCTTTTGGCAAGATTGCCATTTTTATTATGTTGATCCTACCAATCCAAGATTATGGGAGATCTTTCTATTTTCTTGTATCCTCATTGATTTCTTTCTTTAAAGACTCAAAGTTCTTGATATATAGGTCTTTCACTTCCTTGATTAACATTATCCCCAGATATTTGATGCTGTTTATGGCTATTGTAAAGGGTGATGTTTCTCTGATCCTTTCTCAGTCACTTCATCATCTGTATATAATAGGGTCACTGATTTTTTTGAGTTTACCTTGTATCCTGCCACTTTGCTGAAGGTGTTTATCAGCTCTAGGAGTTCCCTTGCAGAGTTTTTTGGGTCACTTATGTAAACTATCACATCATCTGCAAATAGTGAGAGCTTGACTTCTTCTTTTCCTATTTGTATCCCCTTTATCTCCTTTTGTTGTCTTATTGCTGTAGCTAGGACTTCAAGTATAATATTGAAGAGATATGGAGAGAGTGGACACCTTGTCTTCTTCCTGATTTTAGAGGAATTGCTTTGAGTTTATCTCCATTTAGTTTGATGTTAGCTGTTGGTTTACTGTATATTGCTTTTATTATATTCAGGTATGTTCCTGTTATCCCTGATCTCTCTAGGACCTTTATCATGAAGGGGTGCTGGATTTTGTCAAAGGCTTTTTCAGCATCTAGTGAGATGATCATGTGGTTTTTCTTTCGCAGTTTGTTTATATGGTGGATTACAATGATAGATTTTCTAATGTTGAACCATGTCTGCATTCCTGGGATGAAGCCTACTTGATCATGGTGGATGATTTTTCTGATGTGTTCTTGAATCCGGTTTGCTAGTATTTTATTGAGTATTTTTGCATCGATGTTCATGAGGGAAATTGGTCTATAGTTTTCTTTCTTAGTTGTGTCTTTGTGTGGCTTGGGTATCAAGGTAATTGTAGCCTCGTAAAAAGAGTGCTCAACATCCTTAGCCATCAGGGAAATGCAAATCAAAACAACTCTGAGATACCATCTTACTCCTGTCAGAATGGCTAGAATCAAAAACACCAAAGACAATTTATGCTGGAGGGGATGTGGAGAGAGAGGAACACTCCTCCACTGCTGGTGGGAATGCCAACTCATACAGCCTCTTTGGAAATCAGTATGGAGATTCCTCAGGAAAATGGGAATTAATCTACCACTAGACCCAGCAATTCCACTCTTAGGCATTTATCCAAATGAGGCAGGTTCATACAACAAGGGCATCTGCTCCACTATGTTCATAGCAGCATTGTTTGTAATAGCCAGAACCTGGAAGCAACCTAGATGCCCCTCAACTGAAGAGTGGATAGAGAAAATGTGGTACATTTACACAATGGAGTATTACTCAGCAGAAAAAAAACAATGGAATCTTGAAATTCGCAGGGAAATGGATAGCACTGGAAGAAACCATCATGAGTGAGGTAACCCAGTCGCAAAAAGACAAACATGGTATGTACTCACTCATATATGGATTTTAGATATGGATCAGGATAGTGCCAGTCTGCACTTCCACAGATAGAGAGTCTGGGAAACAGGAAAGAACCTAAAAGATATGCATATATGCATAGTACCCAAGAGAAGAGGATGGAGACAAGATCCTCTGAATGGATGGGGAACAGGGCTGGGGGGGTAGTGGGACCTGGGAAGAATAGAGGGGGTAAAGAGGAAGGGAGTTGGTCATGGGGGAACAGGAAGTTGAGGGGGTGGGGGTAGAATAGGGGGAAGAGGGAATCATAGGATCGAAGACAGATCAGGCACCAGAGTGACCTCGAGTGATCTAAAGGTATAACATCAATTGGCAAGCTAAGCAATAGTGGAAGGACCACCTCGAATGCCCATTCCTGATAATGAACTTGATGTCTATAACTATCCGGGAGCCTTCATCCTGGGACTGATGGAAGCAGAGGGAAACACACAACTAAGCACTGAACTGAACCCAAGGAACCCAGTGACAGAGAGAGAGGAATGATGAGCAAATTGGCAAAGAATGGGCTGGCAAAACCAGCAGAGACAGCTGATCTGAACAGGGAGTGCTCTTGGACCCCAGACCGACAGGGGGAGGCCAGAATGGGACTGATCTGGACCCCCAAATGTGAGTGTCAGTGAGAAGGCCTGGACAACCTATGGGGCTCTGAGCTGTGGATCAGTGTCTATCCCTGGTATACAATCTGTCTTCATGTGCCTATAGCACAAAGAGAGATGCTCTCTCAGCCTGGACTCTTAGGGGAGTGCCTTGACCCTACCAAGAGTAAAATGATAGACTCTAGACATCCCCTATGTGGAAGGATTTGGCAATAGGGTGGGAGGGAGGGTGGAAGGGGAGTGCGGGAGGAGGGAAGGGAGAGGGAACTGGGATTGACATGTAAAACAAGCTATTTAAAATTAAAAAAAAAGAAAAAAAAGAAAACAAAAAAAATAAAAAAATAAAAAACAAACAAAAAAAAGATTTACAAAATTGTGACTCCATCTAAAGACCTTTTACATGGAATAAGCATAATCTATATGGAAACTCTATGTATGTATTTATGTATGTATGTATGCATGCATGTATGTAAATGTATATAAAGAACTGACTTTTCCAATTTAAAAAAAAAAAAAAGAAGAGAAAGTGGGTGGTACCCTTGAACGAATTGGTACAGGAGACAGCTTCCTGAACATAACACCAGTAGCACAGACAGTGAGATCAACAATTAATAAATGGGACCTACTGAAACTGAGAAGCTTCTGTAAGGCAAAGGACACAGTCAGCAAGACAAAAAGGCAGCCCACAGAATGGGAAAAAATATTCACTAATCCCACATCTGACAGAGGGTTGATCTCCAAAATTTACAAAGAACTCAAGAAGCAAGTCTCCAAGACAGCAAAGGACCCAATTAAAAAGTGGGCTGCAGAACTAAATAGAGAGTTTTCAATAGAGGAGTCTAAAATGGCTGAGAGGCACTTGAGAAAGTGCTCAACATCCTTAGCCATCCGGGAAATGCAAATCAAAACAACTTTGAGATACCATCTCACTCCTGTCAGAATGGCTAAAATCAAAAACACCAATGACAATTCATGCTGGAGAGGATGTGGTGAAAGGGGAACACTCCTCCATTGCTGGTGGGAGTGCCAACTGGTTCAGCCACTTTGGAAATCAGTATGGAGATTCCTCAGAAAAATGGGAATAAACTTACCACAAGACCCAGCAACTCCACTCTTAGGCATATATCCAAAGATGCCCATTCATACAACAAAGATGTCTGTTCCACTATGTTCATAGCAGCTTTATTTGTAATAGCCAGAACTTGGAAGCAACCTAGATGTCCCTCACCCAAAGAGTGGATAGAGAAAATGTGGTACATCTACCCATTGGAGTACTATTCAGCAGAAAAAAATAACGGAATCATGAGATTCGCAGGCAAATGGATGACACTAGAAGAAACCATCCTGAGTGAGGTAACCCAGTCACAAAAAGAGAAACATGGCATGTACTCTCTCATATATGGATTTTAGACATAGATCTGGGGAGTGCCAGCCTACAATCCTATGGCCAGAGAGTCTGGGAAACAGAAACTTCATTTAGCGGCTGGTTAATTACTGAGCTGAACTCAAGAAAGCCAGTAACTCAAGAAAGCCAGTAACAGAGAGGGAGGACTGATGATCAAAGGGATTAAGACTGAGCTGGTTTAACCCCCAGAAACAGCTGACCAGACAAAGGTTAACTCTTGAATCCCAGGCATCAGCCTGGGAATCCAGCATGGGACTGATCAATACCCCCTGAATTTGGGTGTCAGTGAGGAGGCCTAGCGAACCTATTGAGCCTTGGGCAGCAGATCAGTACCCATCCCAAGTATACACACGGACTTTGGACTCCCATAGAACAATGTGAGGTGCACTCTGAACTCTTAGGGAAGGGTCTAGGCCCTGCCCTATATGAAATGACAGACTATGGACACCCCCATGGAGGGCCTCACCCTCCCTGGGGAAATGAGGGGACAATGGGGGGGTTGGGGGGAGGGCACGGGAGGAGGGGAGGGAATGGGAGAGGGACCTGGAACTGACTTGTGAAGCAACCTCATTTCTTATCTAAATTTAAACTGGAAAAAAAAGAAAGGTATTTGAATGCATGTTAAAAAAATAAACCCTCAATTTGATTAAAAAAAAAAGAGTTTGGCAGTGAGCCTCCTACTTCTATTGTGTGGAATACTTTGAGGAGTATTGGAGTTAACTCTTCTTTGAATTTCTGGTAGAATTCTGCACTGAAGCCATCTGGGCCTGGGCTTTCTTTGTTTGGGGGACTTTTGATGACTGCTTCTATTTCATTAATGGTTATAGGTCTGTTTAGATTGTTTAGCTGCTCTTGATTTAGGTTTTGGCAAGTGATACCTTCCAGGAAATTGTCCATTTCCTTTAAATTTTCGAATTTTGTGGAGTACAGATTTTCAAAGTATGCCCTGATGATTCTCTGGATTTCCTCAGAGTCCGTTGTTTTGTCCCCTTTTCCATTTCTTATTTTGTTAATTAGCATGCTCTCTCTCTGTCTTTTGATTAGTTTGGACAGAGATTTGTCTATTTTGTTTATTTCCTCAAAGAACCAACTCTTTGTTTCATTGATTCTTCTCAATGTTCTCCTGGTTTCTACTTGATTGATTTCAGCCCTCAATTTGATTATTTCCTGGTGTCTGCTCCTCCTGGGTGAGTTTGCTTCTTTTTGTTCTAGAAAGTTCAGCTGTGCTATTAATTCTCTAGTATGACTGTTTTCCAGTTTCTTCATGTGGGCACTTAGTGCTATGAACTTTCCTCTTAGCACTGCTTTCAAAGTGTCCCATAGGTTTGCGTATGTTGTGTCTTCATTCTCATTAAATTCCAGGAAGTCTTTAATTTCATTTTTTATTTTTTCCTTTACCCAGGGATGGTACAATTGAGTTTGTGGGGTTTCTGGGAATTGTGTTATTGTTGAATGCTAGTTATAATGCATGGTGGTCTGAGAGGATACAGGGGGTTACTCCAATTTTTTTGTATCTGTGGAGATTTGCTATGTTTCCTATTATGTGGTCAATTTTAGAGAAGGTTCCATGTGGCGCTGAGAAGATGGTATATCCCTTTGTGTTTGGGTGGAATGTTCTATAGATGTCTGTTAAACCCAGTTGGGTCATAACTTCTATTAGTCCCTTTGTTTCTTTGTTAAGTTTCTGTCTGGAGGTCCTGTCTAGCGGTGAGAGCGGAGTGTTGAAGTCTCCCATTATTAGTGTGTGCGATTTTAGTGCAATTTGAGCTTTAGTGATGTTTCTTTCACAAATGTAGGTGCCTTTGATTTGGGGCGTAGATGTTTAAAATTGAGACTACATCTTGATAGACTTTTCCTTTGATGAATATGAAATGTCCTTCTTCATCTCTTTTGATTGATTTTAATTTGAAGTCTAGTTTGTTAGATATTAGGATTGCTACACCCGCTTGTTTCTTGGGTCCGTTTGATTGGAAAATCTTTTCCCAACTCTTTACCCTGAGATACCATCTGTCTTTGATGTTGAGATGTGTTTCTTGTATGCAGCAGAAGGATGGGTTCTGTCTTCATGTCCATTTTGCTAGTCTGTGTCTTTTTATAGGCAAATTGAGGTCGTTGACATTGAGGGATATCAATGACTATTGATTGATGATTCTTGTTTGTGCTTGATTTATTTGTAGTGAAGTTATTTTGTGTAGTTTCTCCTCCCTTTTTCTTTTGGTGTTATGTAAAGTGGGATTATATATTATATAATATATATTATATATTGCCTGTGTCTTTGTGAGTGTAGTTATCTTCCTTGGATCTAGGTTTTCCTTATAGCTCTTTCTGTAGAGCTGGATTCATGGACACGTATTGTTTAAATCTGGCTTTGTCATGGAAAAACATTTTTATTTCTTGTAATGCCTATGTAGTGTAAGCAATTTAGATGTTGTATTTTTCAAAATTGCTTAAATTGATCATACCTCCCTTTACATTTGCAGTCAACTTTGCTGTGAGCTTGGGAAGTTGCTTTTTCCTCCTCACCTACTTCCCATGTATTACAATCTATTCAAACTATGAACACATGACATTCAAGCAGAAACTGATTTGGTGCTTCAACTTTAATGTTGGGATGGCATTTGGATTTAAATTCCTAATTGACGCAGAGGCAAAGAGTGAGTAGTGACCTTGTGAACTTTCCTGTATTCTAGAAGATACATAGTTGCTATCTTACTGGTTATTCATAGTTTAAGCTTGATTGCTAAACTGTCCTCCAAAATTATCTTCTACTTTATATTAACATATTAGTGTATGAGTGACTTCACAATCTCCAAAAATTTACTGGGCGTCCAGAAGGGTCCCTTCCTGTTTTTGCTGGAGCAGGTATCATTCCCTACACTGCAGTGATTATGTTTTTCCAAAATTATGTATTCCAGTGAGATTTTAGTATGCAAAGTGTTGAGGAGAGTAACCATCATTCTAATCCATAGATCTGGTTAGTTTTATTGTATTTTACTTTCCTGAATTTTATATAGTTCTTTTTTTCAACTCATTTCCAGTTTTTTCTCTGGTTGGATATAGTGACAGTTCCATGATTACTTAGTCAGATATGCTCTTGGAGTCCTAAATTTTAAGTCTGTAAGATGGTAGTGGACTCACATAGAAACCTCTAGAAAGCAACAACAAGCCACTTAGTTATGATACAGTTGAAGAGCTGCTTTCTATTGTCCATCTGGCATCTAACTGAATGTTTGATAATTTGTCTTAGAAACTGGAATGAAATGGAGTAACATATTCTCACCAGTGGATACGGACAACTTTCTGTTTGCCTTTGTGCTAGGAATGCTTTTAGTTGATGCCTTCCTATATGCCCTTGTGGCTTGGTATATAGAAGCTGTCTTTCCAGGAGAGTACGGTGTTCCCAAGCCATGGAACTTTTTCATGATGGTGAGTATTGATGCCTGTTATTCATAGGTGAATCCTTGTGAATTTATTCTAAAACATCTTGAAAGAAGATCACTAGTCAGTTTTATACCACTACTTAGTCAGTAGACTAGGTGGGAAAACCATTCTTATCTATGTTCCTCCTATAAGAAGCTACTACTGTTTTCCTAATACAACCTGAGCCCTCACACATACATACATACATACATACATGATGTAGGTAAGGTCTTTGATTCCTAAATTATTATTGCATATATCTATAATTATACATGAAGAAACATCATCCATGGGTAAGAGCTGGAAACTAACCAAGTGTACAAATTGTGAGTAATGAGTCCACACACTTACAAGAGTATATTTTAGAAAGGCTATGCATTCTTAAAGAAGGTAGCAACACCAAGACTCTGGACACTAACACAGAGAAGCTTAATCATGCCTAGATCCTCATCACCTTCTTTTGTCTAGATTTCTTACAGTCAGAGCTCCAGCAAATAGTATGAGAATCTTTGGCCTATATGTTGCTCAGAGAAGATGTGATAATGATATAGCAGTCTCTCTATGATGTTAGTTGGCAGTAGTTTCCCTTTACCCCTCTCAAATATTTACTTTGGTGGGGGCAGGGTCTTTTTAATATTATAATTTAATTACACTTTTCATGTTCTTTTCCTCTCTCTCTACACTCTCCTATGAACCCCTCCCTAGTCTTCAAATTCATGACCTCTTTTTAAAAACCTAATTTTTATTGCATATGTATATGTATATACATATATCCCTAAATATAGACTGTTCAATCCATGTAATGCTACCTGGATATAGATTTTCAGGGACGACCTCCTAAAACTGAGTAACCAATTGGTGTGCTTTTCACTGGGGAAGGCCAACTCTCCCATGCCCAGCTTTCCTCGATTGCCTATAGGTCCTTGTATAGGGCTGAGGACTCATGAGCTCCTCTTCCAGTTTGGCATGTTCATTGTTCAGCTCACATTTTAACCGTCATGTTGGTGACTCTATGTGTATAGCTGCTGATATTACTGGGAGATATATTCACATCAAGTCCTCTGATCCTCTTAGAATCTTTTCAGGCCCTCTTCCATGATGTTCTCTGAGCCTTAGCTGCAGGAGTGCTTTATAGATGTATCCATTGAGACTGAGCTCCACAACTCTGTATTGTGTTTAGTTGTACTTTTCTGTTATGTTCTCCATCTGTTGCAAAGAGAAGTTTCTTTAATGAGGGGTGCAGACTGCACATATCTGTGTGTTTAAGGACAAATGTTTATAGATTGTTGTTAGTAATTATGCTGGCTTAGTAAAGTAGTGGCTGTAGATTCTCCTTCAATAACTATGGCTTCACTAACATTGAGTAGTTAGCTAGGTCTCCTTCTTGAGCCAGTTATAAGACCAAGAGAGTTGTTGTTTACCACCAAGGTATATGTGCTACTACTACACAATTAGGGTTATCATGCCAGGCTGGTCATTGATTTCATTCATATCCTGAGTGGGACTGTTGGTTGCCTTACTCCTTTGGAAGCTTGAATGGTGCTTTTTGGTATCATGAAAGCTGGTCCTCAGGGAGAAGACAGATGGGTCAGTTCCAAATAAGGAGACTCTAGGCCCTGTTTCTGAAAAGCATGGTGTCTTCAGCAATAAGACTTTACCTTCTACCTCTGGGAGATAACCAAGGGTAATAGCAATAAGCTGTATGTTTTGGGAGTCTTTTGGATAGCCCTGGCTAACAACTCAAAAGATGGCTTCTCCTGTCTGGTATTGGGATTTTTATAGGTGTTCTTTCACTCTTGGAGAGAGAACCAGCAGCCCAGATGAGAAAAGTTCACTAAAACTATGCATGTATATTTATACATGGAGTTATATATGTTATGAATTTTGTTTTTGTTCTTTTTGGGTAAATAATATTCATGGTTCTTTCAGATATCCTTATTATTATTTAACCCAACTCCCTCCTTCATTTATAGTTACTTCCCTCCCTTTTCTTTTCCCATTTTCCCTGTCAGATCACTTGTATTCTGCTATTCCCCTTTATGCTCCTCCCCCTTGTGCAATTACCTCCTTCACCCTTCCTACAAAGGCCCTCTTTTCCCATTTCCCTGATCAGATCACTTGTACGATGCTATTCCCTTTTCAGTTGCTCCCTAAGCCCCTTTTTGCTGACAACAGTTCTGTTTTACTTTCCTGGTTTCTGTAGTTACTACAGGCTATGTTATGTGTTCACATCTGAAGATTTGGAACCAGGAGCCTCAGATAAGAGAGAACATAGGGCTTTTGGGCCTGGGCTGCCATACTCCATGTGATCTTTTCTAAGCTCATCCATTTATCTGCAAAGATTATGATTTAATTTTTCATTACAACTGAATAATATTCTATGGTGTATGTATACCACATTTTCATTACCCATTAATCAGTTGGAGGCCATTTATGTTGTTTCTACTTCCTTCCTATTGTGAATAGAACAGCTATGAACAGGACTGAGCATTTGTCTTGAAGGTAGAATGTTGAGTTCTTTAGGTATATGCCAAAGACTGGTATAGCTGGGTCATATGGAAGATTTATTTTTAGTGTTTTAAGAATTCTCCACACTGATTTCTATATGGTTGCCGCAGTAGTTTTCAATTGCATCAATAGTGAATGATGGTTCACATTTTCCTCTTTCATTCCCTCTAGCATTTGCTGTCCTTTATTCTGTAGATCTTAATCTTAATTTAATTAAAGGAAGTTTTCTATTTCTTCCTCCCCCCTTTAGCTCCCATTCATAATTTAGTAATGAGTTGTTTAATGTCCTTGAGTTTGTGTATTTCCTAAAGCACTTTGCCATCAATTTAAAGTTTTATTGGATTGTGGTCAGGTAGTATACAAGGAAGTAATTTCAATCATTTTGAATTTGAAAAGATTTGTTTTGTGTTCCAAAATGTGCTCTATTTTTGAAAAGTGTCCATGTGCTCCAGAGTTGAATGTGAATTATTTTGTTTTTAATAGAATAACTGAAGATGTCTATTAATTCCATTTGATATATGATGTCAATTAATTCTGTTTTTTCTGGTTTTTTTTGTCCAGATGACCTGTTTCTTGGAGAAAGTGTTATGTTAAAATCACCTTGTATTTACTGATTGATGTTAATATGTGTCTTTAAACGCAATGATAGATTTTTTAAATAAAGTTGGGCACACTGAGTTTCGTACAAATATGTCTAATAATAATGTTTTCTTTGTTAGCTGTTCCCTTGATTAGAATGAAGTATCCTTTTAAAAATATCTTCTAATGAGTTCTAATTTAAAGTTTATATTTTCAGATATTAGGATAGTGGTGCCTGCTTGCTTCTTGGTCCTATTTCATTGGGTTACTTTTGTCCATCCTTTTATTTTAATGTGGTGCCTAGATTTAATACTAAGATATGTTTCTGGTAGGCAGCAGACAGTTGTATTTTGTTCTTGATCCATTCAGATAGTTTGTGTCTTTTGATTGAGGACTTGAGTTCAGTGATATTTAAAGCTATTACTGAAATGCAAGTATTAATTGTGATCACTGTGTTGTTCAATTTTGATTTGTCTTCTCAGTGGTCCTTTGTGTTTTAATAATTTTGGCTTCATATGTCTTTCCACAGTCTCTCTGCTATGCTAATTTTTCTCTTAAGCCCAAAAGATTGCTTCCTGTGTCTTCCTTAATTTTGGTTTGTTGGATATAATTTTTTCAGACTGCTTATGTTGTAGAAATTTTTTCTTTCTTCAAAAATGGCAGATAACTTTGCAGAGTATATTATTTTACATTGACTGTTGCAGTCTTTTAGGACTTGGAATGGATTGCTCTGGGCTCTTCTGTGAATGGAGTATTTTTCTCTTACAACTTTCAATATGCGTTCTTTGTTATATATACTTATACTTAGTGTTTTAACTATGATATGCCATGGAGATTTTCTTTTCTTATCTATTTGGTGTTTGGTGTGCTTCTTGTATCCAGATGGATGTGTCTTTGCTTAGTTTGGGAAAGTTTTATTGTATGATTTTGTTAAGTAGCTGGTCTATGTCATTGACTTGAAATTATTCTCTTTCATATATTCCTATTATTTGAAGGTTTGGCCTTTGCATGGTATCCCACATTCCCTGTGTTTCTTTTCATATTTTTTGTTAAATTTTCTTGTTCCTTGCTTATTTGGTCTTGATCCTCTATTTTATCATTCAGATCTGATATTCTCTCTTCTTCTTGACTCATTCTACTTGAAAAGCTTTCCTTTCAGTTCTGAGTTTGTTATGGACACAACAGACTGGGAAAGATGAGAGAATGTTGGAATGGGTTAGGATTAGAGGTTGGGAATATATTAGAATTAAATTCAGGTGGACAGAGGGGAATGTCCTGGTGTATATGTTGTGTTTCCTGCTTCAAGGCATACTGTACAGGTAGATCGGTCTCAGTGGAAAGGTGTGAGAGAGTCATGTGGTTTTGTGGCTAGGTGGGGAAGACTCTGGCTCAAGCCTAAGATCCTTCACAGTGAGACAATGGAAGGCCAGACTAGGTTGGTGCATAGGTTGTGAGAACCAGGTTAAATATGGTGGAGTGTAGGAAAAGGTGTGGATGAAGAGGTCAGGAGTGTTTTCAAGGCTAGGTCTGGGCAGAAGCTTAGAAGTTACAGCCCAGGAGGTGTTAGACTAAGCAGTGGTATGGGATGTGGGACCCTGTGGGGGGGGGTCTTGAGGTCTCATGCTGTAGAGGTGTATATGTCCAGACTAGGACTGGGCACTTGCTGTGGGATCTGGGATAAGTCTGGTGGGTTAAGAAAAATAATGAGAATCTGCTTGTAGGGGTTACTTTCAAGGCTAGACCCCAGAGGAGGACATAGGCAGTCTATAGCTAGCTTGCTCTAAAATCTGACCTCAAAAACTGTATGAAGCCCATCTAAGTGCAAATGCTGTTCAGTTAAGGTATTTCCTAGTGTTCCCTTTTTCATGCCACCAGTTATATCAGTTCTATTCTCTTTTAGCGCTCTTACTGGTTTGGAGAAACACCTCAAAGAAATCCCCAAATCACCCAATTTAATGAGAAAATTCGAAGCAAGTATTTTGAAGCAGAACCAGCTGATTTGATGGCAGGCATCCAGATCAAACACCTGCACAAGGTATTCTTTCCCTTCCTCCCTTCCTAATGAAGCTGGAACTTAATTTGTATTCACTGTAAACATTCAATATGATAGATACCAAAATATTCAATAGGTTTTATTTATTTATGTTAATTAAAAAGTCATAGCCATTGCATTTACTTCTCCAGAGAAAGATAAAAATGAATATGTACAGTACTTAAGAGTTGATCCTTCTACTAGAAGACAATCAGATTCCCTATAACCTGTGCCATGTAGTCTATATATGCTGCTATTTTAAAGTGAAACTAATAGAGTTTTGTGACTTAAGTGGGTAAACATTAATTTCTATTTGCTAATATTTTCCTTCATCTATTGTGATCCATTTTTCCTGGGTGGGTGTTGGGGGAGGGTGGAGGTGACACTTGGATCTATCAGTATTGCTGGGTTTCTGTAGGCATGCAGCTCAGGGGATTCATGCCATCTGGGTTTTTCTTCCTTCTCAAGGGTCTGCATAAGCTTGAGATCTGAGTTCCTGACTCTACAGTCTGAACACACTCAGGAGGATTGAGAGTACTTATTTTCTTATAGACCTTTCCCAGCTTCATTATAATACAAGAAGTCTCTGTTTTGTTTTTATCAACCTAAGTGCAAAATTCAGCTTTTTCCCAAGTCTGCTCCAGAACTACAAACATTTCAATAAACTTTTATGTGACTGTTAGTAACATGTAATATAGTTAAAGCTAGAGGCAACTTACCAAGGAGCACACAGGCTGTGACCGTGTTCCCAAATGTATTTACCTGAATCTTCTACAGTTTTCTTTACTTTACTTTCCCCACCCTTTGCTCCTAAGAATTTCCTCTCATGCATACACAAAGCACCTCACCCTTCCTCATACTTCTCCTACACTTGCATATCCATGATAATGACAATATTTAAAAGAACTAAATGTCTTGTATCTTCTTCATTCATTCATTCTTTTTTTTCATTCGTTCATTCTTGTTCCTGGTGATTCAGCAGTAAAAACCTCAGAAAAAGTCCATACTCTCAAGGACTTTCATTCTAGTGTAAGTGAAAACATCTTAGCAATTAAACAAATAAGGTTATTATAACCTATGCTGGTGTCATTGGAAAAAATAAAAACTGTTAATGATACAACAAATTAAAAATAGAGTGGGGAGAAGATATTCATCTGATTACCCAAGGAAACCTGGCCATTGTGGATGCTGACTGCCCTTCTCAACTGTTATCTCTGTTGAAAAAGACCACGTCAGCCCAGATTAGATGCATTTCTCCAGGACATCTATCAGTAGCTGTTTGAAGTGGAGGCATGATGTCTCAGCTTGCTGTCCTCTAGCCTGGCTATACATCCATCACCATCTACAGTTTGGAATTGGCACTGTAGAGACTTGCTTATCAGTTTTGAGATTCAATGACTAGAAGAAATGGATATTAGTGGATTAACTCACAGACATTGGAGAGAGTATAGGACAATCCAGAGTCTGTTTGTTTAGTTTGCTGATTGGTGGTAATTAAAACAACAAAGGAATGAATAGGATTATTCATGGAAATATTGTACACCTACTGTGAAATTCTAAAACTCACCTTGTATCTTCAAAAAGATTTTCTCTCTTTGCTATTTCTCCTTATTATACTCTATTTCCCAATAAGATTAATGCACAGTCTTATTTCTTCTATATAAAGAGTTGCTGTGTGTACTTGTTCTTCTAAAGTGCTTATGAAGGCTACATAGTTAACATTTATGGGTTTCCCCCAACAGGAATTCAAAGGGGGTAACACCACCAAGATAGCCATTGAGGATTTGTCTTTGAACTTTTACGAGGGACAGATCACTGTTCTTCTAGGACACAATGGGGCAGGAAAATCCACTACTCTTTCCATCCTCTCAGGTTGGTGTTTGGCTCTGTTGAGTAGGTGTCCTTACCCAGATATTGGGGATAAAGCAATGAAACTTGCATGCTATGGTTTAATAGTCCACTTTGTTTTCAAATAATTTAAAAACTTAAAAGTTAGTTCTGGGGGGAAGTCATCACATTATGACTAAAAGATCATGAAGAATACAGTACATTTCTTAGTATGTATGTGTCTAAGAACAGAGCACCAAAAATCCTCAAAAACAAAATTGAAAGATTTGAAAAAGCAACAGATACACTTGCATTTAGAGACTTCAGCACTACTCCTGCAGTCACTGATGGAGACAGTAGATGGGACAGCCATGAGAATGCTGGGAACTTAACCACTAGGCCCAATAACAGCTAATCAAACAATTCCCTATGTGCTGGTACATCAGATCCTAGGCTGCCCAAAGGAGTAGAGAGAGCTAAGAAGTGTGAAATGTTCAGGCAGGAAGAAAATTATTCTAAACTGAAATATGGATTTTTAAGAAGGTTTCAAGAGTACCAAATATGGTAAAACCATTGGTAAATATAAAAACAATCTAAATCTTTTTATATATACATTTTCCTTTTGAATCTATCAAATACTGAAATAAAAACAATATTCAACTTTAATGTTCAATATTAAATACGCAAACAGACAACAACCTGGTGATGATGAGGATACTCAGTATTTAGAGTTACTACAGCTGTGTGTGCATGTGTATGGCTTCTAGAAATCAATGCCCTGATTCACTTCTCTTCCTTTGCTGATATATTTGAGATGGGTTCTCACTGAAATCAGAACCCACTGTTTCAGCTATTATAGCTAGTCTGGGAGCCTCAGGGATGACTTTGTCCCACCTCAGCCCCTACTCCTCTTCTACCCGTCACATCCTTTTTGTGCTGGGTTTATAGGTTATACCCCTGTACCTGGGTTTTATGTGAGTACTGGGACTCCAAACTCGGCTTCACGTTTGTACACCAAGCATGCAAGCACCTTACTAACCAACCCATCTTCTAGAAGACTTAAGAAAGAAAAAAAGGAGGAGGAGCAGGAGGAGGGAGAGGAGAAACTGGGAGGAGGAGGAAGAGCAGGAGGAGGAGAACCAAGAAAAGGAGTACAGGGGGAGGATGAGGAGAGAGAAAATTGAGGAGGAACTAAGTGTGACTTATAGGAGAAGTACAGGAACCCAAGTAAAAAGTACATTATTAGAAATTAACAGTGTGAACTGGAAGAAGAAAGAATCAGTGAATTTGAAGAAAGATCGATAGATACTATATGAGTAACAGAAATGAAAATTGACAGCATCAGAGAAATATAGGTACTTTTATGTCCACTGAATGTATGTGTTTTATCAGCGTCAGATGGAGAAGAAAAGGAGAAAGTAGGAGAAAAGTATTTTAGAAAATTAAAGTTGAAAATTTGCCAAATTTGTTGATAATATCAAATGACTGATTCAAGAAATCAACAAATCATCAATAAGATAAATTGAAGTTCATACCCAGCATGTTATAATAAATTCTGAAACACAAAGACAGTGAAGATGTTGAATGTCTCAAAAGTGTCACTCACCATGAGCCACAGAGCCCCTGTGAAACTAAGAAGTGACTTTTATCAGACACAGCACAGGTCAGATGTGATTGAGATAACGTATTTAAACTGATAAAAGAAACAGAAGTGAACATGAAAGAATGACTTTCCCAGATGAATTTATTTCAAAAAGACTTCATTCCCAGAAATACTAAGAGTTTCTCAGGCTAAATCTAAGGAAATGCAGCAAAATTTATCCAAAACTATTCAATTTAGTCTCAGGCAGATTTTTTTTTGGACAAAGGCAGAAAGAAGCCACATTCTTTTTTTATGTTGTTATATTTATTTTGTTGTTTTTTAATTTTTATTATTTATTTTTAAATTTAAATTAGAAACAAGGTTGCTTCACAAGTCAGTTCCAGGTCCCTCTCCATTTCCCTCACCTCCTCCTGTGCGGAGTCTCCCCCAACCCCCCCCCAATATCCCTTCATTTCCCCAGAGAGGGTGAGGCCCTCCATGGGGGTGTCCATAGTCTATCATTTCATCCAGGAAAGGGCCTAGACCCTCTCCCTAGAGTTCAGGGTGAGAGTGCATCTCTCATTGTTGGATGGGAGTCCAAAGTCCATTGTATACCCTGGATAAATACTGATCTACTGCCCAAGGCTCAACAGATTACCTAGGCCTCCTCACTGACACCCACATTCAGGGGGTCTTGATCAGTCCCATGCTGGATTCCCAGGCATCAGTCTGGGATTCAAGAGCTAACCCTTGCCAGGTCAGCTGTTTCTGGGGGTTAAACCAGCCCAGTCTTAATCCCTTTGGTCATTAGTCCTCCCTCTCTGTTACTGGCTTTCTTGAAGAGACCTCTTTACCAAAACCTCACAAGGCCAGTCTATAGGACAAATACTAATATTTTTCTCTTCTAGAACCTCTTGATCTAAGAACCAATAGTTCCAGCCACCCTCAGCACCACTGTCTTTCATGTTCCTGCTAGTATAGTCTGTTAAACTCCACTTAAAGCATTCCACGGATTTCCTAACCATAGTCCCAAAGTCCATATTCCTCCAACCAAAAACATGACCAGACCTATCACAACAATACTCCAGTCCCTGGTACCAACTTCTGTCTTAGTTAAGGTTTCTGTTGAAATGAAGACATACCGTGACCATGGCAACTCTCATAACAGATATTATTTAGTTGTGGCTGTCCTTACAGATTCAAAGGTTTAGTCTATTATTTGTCATAGCAGAAAGCATGATGGCTCATGGGCAGACATGGTACTGGAGAAGGAGCCAAGAGTTCTACATCTGGGCATGGCTTGAGCATTTGAATCTTAAAGTCCACCTTCAGTGACATACTTCCTCCAACAAGGCTACACCTATTTCAATAAGGCCACAACTTCTAATGTTGCCACTCTTTGGTGACCAAGAATTCAAATCTATGATCCCAGAGGAGCCATTATTGTTCAAACAATAAAAATTGTTAAAGAAGAAGGGACATGTAACAATCTCTACTAATGTATTTTCACTGTTTCCTTAATAAGCAAAATGTACCACTACATCATAGCTGGTAACACATGATTATACAGATGTCATGTATAATCAATAGTATCAGAAAGAAGGGAGGGAGAGATATGCAGAGATCACAATCATTAAGCTGTCTGGAATTAAATTTGAAATAGCTCCAAAACAACTACAAAGATAAACACAACCCGTTGGCAGTCATGAGTGAGGGTATATGCCTGTAACAAGGTAGAGGCAGGCAGATAAGCAGTTTAAAGTCATCCTCACTATATACCAAATTCAAGGCATCCAGGGATACATGAGACCCTATCTCAAACAAACAAACAAGCAAATGAGCAATAGTGAGAAAAGAATGAAAGGAACAAAAATATTAGGATAAGAACTGTTTATCCGATGCAAAAGAAAGCACCAGTGGGCCTAGAGGACTAAAGAGCACAGGCACAAAATCAAAGGAAGGTTGCAGCTGGAAACCCAAGCATATGAATGACTGTATTAAATATAGACTATTTACTTCAAAATCCAGGAGGCATCCAGGAGAAATAACAATGGTCTGTGTTGTTTCAGGTGTCTCTTAGACACCCCTGACAACAATGCTGGAGAAGGTTTCTCATATCTGATCTGGGGTTTTCATTACGTAGTCTATGGCTCCTGTGGAAGAGCATCATTATCCCAAGTGGCATAACTTTATTTAAAATAAAGTGATACATATACACATATATACATGATTTTAGATAAATATAAATGTATATGATTCCCTGTGTCTTTTCTAAACATCCTTAATGTTTTGTTCTCAATGCCCTCTCTCTTCCCTTACAGTTAAATCCCTCCCCCACTTTTCTCAGCCTCCCCTTCATAGTGCTTGCATCCTGCCCTCCCACATTCTGGGACTCCTCCCCGAGACACCGGACCCCTTGTGTCCTGGCTTCTATGGTTACTGTAGGTTACATATTCACATTTGTCTTTCTGGGTTGTTGAAGATAGCACATACTTTGGACACAGGATTTGAAGGTAATGAGCTGGAAGTGACCCTTGAGCCTCCTCCTAAAGGACTAGATTTCATAGTATCAGAAGGGGATATGTAAGCTGTCACTCTGACTGTTTCAAAAAATAATTAATTAATAGGGAATCCAGCAAGTCCATTACTTGAGAGACTGGGGTAGGAGGATGTCTTGAAGCCAACACACCACTCTGAGCAACATAATAAGATCCTTTCTCAGGAAATATCTGAGTTATCACATTTAAAGTAATATTTCTCCTTATTAAAATTAGCCTCTCACTACAACTGCCTAAGACTGTAGAACTGTCTGAACCATTTTGAAATTACTTTAAGTGACTGTACTTTTTTAAGTTCTTCAAGGTTAACAGCTTTACAGTGTGGGTTTTCCAGTTTAAAAGTTATGTGCCCAAATCTATTGCAGTGAGGAGATTGCACTATGAATAGTAACTGTTGACAAGTGGCTGATGGTGGTACTAAATTGTTCCCATGTTACACTTTCAAAACTCTTTATCACTCCAAGTGATTTTCCCATCTCCAGTGAATGTTAAAAAATCGCAACATTCAAGTAAACAGAAAAAAACTGTAAAATATTTCTAATATGATCCCCAAAGCAGCAAACAAATATCTTTGTCATCCATATTAGTGAGCAATCCATGTGTATTTTAGTCACAAAGGCTATTCTGTTTTGTTATCTGTCTAATTCTAGGTCTCTATCCCCCAACCAGAGGAGAGGCCTATATTCATGGATATGACATATCACAGCATATGGCACAAATCAGGAAATCCTTGGGCTTGTGTCCTCAGCAGAACTTGTTGTTTGATCACTTGACAGTGTCAGAACACCTTTATTTCTACTGTAGGGTGAGCCAAGGATATCTCTTTTTCCTCCTCATTCTGTTCAGGTAGATCACCAAGTACTAATATTCTTATTCTTATAAAGTTCAATAAATGATTTTAGATGAATTTTCCTCTAAGCTTAAGGACTGGAAAGGGGCCGGTAAACCACTCCAGAGTTGATGTAAGGAAGAAGCTACTGTGAGATACCTATAAGATCCAGAGGTCAGGAGGACTGGAGTGAAACATTACCTTTGGGACAGCTCTACTTGTGAACCCATAGATAGAGCCAGTCAATACTCCAGCACAGACTGCAGAGGGGCTAGTAAAGCCCCACCTCTAGAGGAGGAGCTTTGGCAGTTGATTGCTGCTGAGGGAAAGTGATAGCTGATAGGTGATTCATTCTCCAGTGAACCGCCCCACATGCATTCACAGACAGACAGCATGACTAGACTCAGTGGCTTATGAAAGCTAATGTGCAGTTGGGAGGGAGACATGGCAGGGAGTGCTGAGAAGAGTCAGAAGAGGAGGGGAAGATTGATATGATCAAAACATATTATCTATACATACGAAATTCTCAAAAACAGAAAATAATTTTTAAAAGAAACTTCTAAGACTAAAATTGAAAGTTCCATGCAAACTATGCCTCCTTCTTTTAGGTAAAAGGAATACCTCAAAAGATGTGTCTTGAGGAAATTGACAGCATGCTGTCAGCTTTTAATCTACTGGAGAAACGGGATGCATTTTCAAAGTCACTGAGTGGAGGCATGAAGCGCAAACTTGCCATCATTACAGCACTGCTAGGGGGCTCCAAGGTAAAGGGACAAGCCAGTTCTGTTCTACAGCAGGTTTAGAAATCCAAGTGATACAAATCAGGAAGCTGACATAGATTTAACACTTTGAAAGAAGCTCCCATGGAATTCGCATTGTCAATCTCATTGGTATAAAATGATCATGGGCTTGGTTTTAGTACAGAAGTCCTAGTTTTACATAAACTTTCTATCTTTGCTCAGTTGGACATCTGGCTTAAAAATCAAAGTAAGAGCAAGCCCAGTACTGGTAGACACCCATGGGACCAGTGCATATTTACTTAGTCATTGAATTATTCTGTTTCTAGGTGGTGATACTTGATGAGCCAACATCTGGCATGGACCCAGCCTCAAGGAGGACCACCTGGGATCTCCTTCAAGCATATAAACAGGGCCATACCATCCTACTGACCACCCACTATATGGATGAAGCTGATGTGCTGGGTGACCGCATTGCTATCATGGTCCAAGGAACCTTGCGGTGCTGTGGCTCTTCAGTCTTCCTGAAAAGACTATATGGTTCATTCCCTTTGATTATTCTTACAATGTTGTTGCCTTAATAATCTTTTAACTTAATTCCCATTGATGTTGTATATATAGCCAAAATTTGAGTGATTCCAATATTATGTTCAGCTAACATTCATCTGTAAATCCTTTGGATGGTGATTCTGTTTTCTTCAAAATTATCTCCCACTTCTGTGATTTTTGTAATGTTCAGTGTTGGCATTATCTAAAGAATTTGTCCATCAATGAAATTATGACTACATACAGAAATATAGAAAATGAAATCAGAGGGGGATAGATTACTTTCTAATCTCCCTGGTGATATTTTTTGTGTAATTCACTGTCTCTTTTAGTGTATGCTGCTTAATTCCCTCACAATTCTGAAGTTTCCAGCCTTTTTCTGTTACTGATTTATTACTTCATCCTGTTTTTGTCTGATAAGATATTTTGTCTATCTTTTAACATCTACACTTAATTTGTAGTTCTGTCTTCTATTCTGGAGATGGTCCCGAGATCACAGAATGGGCATTTTGCTGTGTTAGGGTATTCCCTACTTCTGTTTTATGTCAAGCTTCTCTTATTTCAACGTGAAGACCTGTTACATTTCTCTCTAGATATGCCTAATGCTGGTGAACTCTCAGATTTTACTTACCTGGAGTGCCTTAGTTTCTGGTTCACTTCCAGTTGTTTTTGCCCCTGACTAGGCATTATTTCATGCTACTTAGAATATCCAAAACCTTTTGACTGGTTGCCAAACTTTATGTGCTATGTTGTTGGATGTGTAGACTTTTGTTGGGGAAATGTCTGTCAAGAGTTTTGTGCTCCATTCCAACATCCAGTTGGAATATTTTGTGCACCATTGAGGTATGATTTTCACTTTTGCTAATGTGGGTATGGGGTACCATTCATTAAATATATTTCAGTTCTATTGCAGAAGCATGAGCCCCATGGGGTCTTAATTAAATTTCCTGGCTGATCATCACCGATTCTCCACTTTGGTTTAGCTATGTAAGCTCCAGTCTTTATGTAAGGTAACAAAGGGACAAAAAGGTAAATCCAACTACATAGAGTTCCTCTTGGTGTTTATATAGCCTGTCACTGAGCAAAGGCTAACAGAGACACCCTTATGAGGTTTCTGTGGTTACTTCTTTTAATTTTTATTTGTATGTGTATGTGTTATATATGTTGTGTGTGTGCTGTGCGCATGCTCATGTGCTCATATGTAGAGACCAGAGGAAAACTTTAGAGTGTCTTCCTCTATTGTTCTCTGCCTTATTCCCCTGAGACAAGGTCTCTCATTGAACCAGAATCACATAACTATCTTCCAGGATCTGCCTGTCTTCACCTTCCAACTCTGGGGTTATAGGCAAGTGTGCCATGCTTAATGTTTTTGTTGGTGCTAGTTCTCACACATGCACAGAAAGTGCCCTTGTCCACTAAGCCATCTCTCCAGCTCTCATTTCAAGGTTATCTTGCTACAGAGCTCTGCATTCAAATTGTCGTCACAGCTTGTAGCTGTAGATTTAGTCTTTCAACTTCTCACATCAGGTGTAGCACTGGAGGCTGTTGGTATTTCCCTTTGCTGCACCTCCAAGCCAAGGTGGCATGCTTGAACATCTCATCTCACCTCCATCTCACAGGCATGGATGCCCCTTGGCTAACTCTTGTCTGCAGACCAAAGCTGTGCTTTCAATTCCCATTTCTTTCAGATGTTCATGGTGGAAGTTCTGTTAGGACGTACTTACATTGTCAGGGTCATGACCTAAACTAATCCTCATTTATTATGAATGTTTTCATTGGATAGGTAATTCTTGCTTGACAGAATTTTGATCAAATTTTCAAGATGTAATTTTACAAGGACATCTTAAATTTTCTAATTATTTTCTACTTTATGATTAACTGAGATTTTCCACTTGTGCTATTCTCTATTTTCTTACACTTCACTATTTGCATTCCCATTTGGATCACTTTTAGTGATCTTTTTTCAGGGATATTGATTCTTTCTTTTCTTCTTTCTACTTTGCTGCTGAGACCATTAAGTGACTTCTCTATTTGTACTTTCTACTGTTTCCATTGGCTTCCTTTTATAGTTTTCATCAGCCTGCAAAATGTCTGATTGACTCAACACCTTGTTTATCTATTTCTAGTAGACCGACGATTATATTTATCATGGTATTTTAGTCTTTATCCTATAATTTCTACATCTAGGCCAGTCTCTGCTTCTAGCTTTAATAATATATATATTATATTTAATATAATATATATGCTTGCTTGTTTATTGGCATGGCTTATAATTTTTATGCATGAGTAGAAACTAAAGTATGTAATATTTATCTCAAAGAAGCATATACCTTTATTTCTGTCAAGCTATATTTATGAATGATAAAGTCAATAGAATGTATATTTGGGCAATCCTGAAATGTGGTACAGCTTTGTTTGTATTCTGCTCATCACTGTCTTCAAATGTTTTAGGAGGGAAATAGAATGTTACTGTTAAAGAGAGCTTGAGACCTACATATAGGAAGATGGTTCTCCCTTTAGGCTGTGACCCAACCACAGGCCTTCTAACTGGCATATCCTCTTTGATTTCCATACTCCCCAACCCCTGTCAATTTCTTCAGTACCCTGGGGCTCACTGGCTCTCTTCTACTCTCTCTTTGCTCCTTCTCTGCTACCCTCTTCCTTTCTCAAAGGACTCTTGTCAGGTTATGGGCCCAGATACCCCAGAGACATTTCCCTTAGTTCTACTGTCCAAGCCTAGGGTACTAGAATGTCGTTGCTAAGAGAATAAATCCTAGAGTTCCATGGAGGGATTTCCCTCCATACCCTATCCCACACCTAGCTTTAGGAAAACCAATAAAGAAGGAAGACAATAAGGTGGATGAGTGAGAGGAGAAAAAGGAGGAGACACAGGGTGCAGGGAAGAGATGATAGAATATAAAAATAGAAGATCTCTCTGATGTGAAGATCTTTGAAGGAAATTAATTTTATCCAATTTATATAGCTTCTGGTATATAAATGTGTGTCCAGGAATTATCCGCTTGATGAATATTAATCTTGATTTCTCTAAGTCAGGTAGATTCTATGTTATCTCTGCTCTATCTGGTTTTATAATCTAGATAATTATTAATCCATTATAGGCCTATTTACAATTATATCATTAATTATTATTATAGTACACAATGCCATGCTTCTTAGAGTTGTAGTCAAATAACTTGTGACATGCTCTATCTTCTTCTAGTTTACACAAACCACAAAAAGCCAGGTATGGCCTCATTAGGATATGGTAAGTACAAAACCTTTTAATTTGGTCTTCTGAATGCATTTTCTCAGGTGTTGGGTACCACATAGTCATGGTGAAGGAACCTCACTGTGACATTGATGAAATCTCAAAACTGATCCATTACTATGCATCAACAGCCACCTTGAAGACTAATGTTGGAAATGAATTATCTTTTATTCTACCCCAAGAATATACTCACAGGTGTGGATCTAAAGAATGCCAATCAGTAGATTTTTAAATAGTCAGAAATAATTGTTTTTTTCTCGTTTCTTCCTGATTAGCAAATAAAGTTTATTTAAAGAGACAAAACTTCTATCACAGCTGCCACTTGCACTGAAAAGAGACAGGCACCACTTGCTTATTATAGTTTCCTGGGGTTAACTGGTGATATTGGGTGTTTTGTTGTCCATAGAGTCAATGTGACTACTAGTACATGGAGTGAAGTAAAGTACTAAGATAATGAAAAGGTAGTGGTAAAGTGATTTGCTAGCATGTACAGGATCTAAATTCAGTTTCATATCCACACATACAAACTCCACCAATACCAATAATATTAGCCTTAAAAACTAAGTGAAATGATACATACCTGCAATCCTAGAATGAGACATGAAATAGATTATGAGTTTGAAGCCAACATTAATCATAAAGTGAGACATTCTCTCAAAAATATAATGAAATTAACCAGGACAGTTTAAATGGTGGCTCTTGGAGTGAAGATGACAAAAATTCACCAGGAATAGGCAATTGGTGTGTCATCCAGCAGTGTTCATGCCTCCAAAGAATAGTGACTCTCCTTTCTCTATCAGCCATCAACTGTCTCCTCATAGAGCATCTTAATAGTTTTATTAGAAAATCAAAATGATATGTCTCCAAGAGAAAAGTATCAAGGAAGCAATTTACTACAGCAGTTTGTTGTTGTCTCGCTTTTTCTGTTTGTCTCGCCTTTCTGAATTAACAGAACAGAAGCATGAAATTATAACCAGCATTGACATGTTAGTGAGGGGAAATCACTTTCAAATAAAAAAAGTAAGTATGAAAATCACCTCCTTTAGTCCCAGCCTGTCGTCTTCTCCTACTTGTAGGTTTGAAGCTCTCTTTTCTTCTCTGGAAGAGAATCAAGAGAACCTTGGCATTTCTAGTTTTGGTGTCTCTATCACTACCATGGAAGAAGTTTTCCTTAGGTTAGCAAGCGTCCATAGGAAAAGGGAAAGCCTCAGAGGGAAAGACAATTGCAAACTTCGACACTGCATGCCTTAGAAATTTAAGCATGGTCAGGCTTGGAGGTGTGCTGGTGCTTGGGAACTAACATCACTCTTACTTAGTGGGTTGCCATTATACAATGACTAACCCGAGGGGCCTTTGGATTCAGGGGTTGCAACTCATATTCTTTAAGCAATGGACAGTCAGATAAGGTTGAAATGACAAACTTTTTTTTTAATATAGGGTCAGTCACATGGAAGATTCAAAATCAGATAACCAAGATACTCAGTCACCCTCAGTGGGGAGCAAAGAGAATAAGAATAAGGATGTCCCAAGCAGCATGAGAGGAGGCTTTCCCATTAAAGGTGAAGACCTGGCCATTGTGTTTAACACCGGGGTAAGAATCTTTACAAAGAAATAGCTGCCTAAAGCAAGAGTTAGGATTTAAGAGTTTTGTTTTCTCTTAATTCATGAACCAAAAGAACATACTGTTCTTAGCCACTAAGAACCAATACAGTGTGGAGCAGTTGGGACCCCAGCCTACTGAGTGTTTAAATGTAGAGGGATGGACTCTAGAAAACACATTATCAGCTATTTACTGTCGCTGCCATTATTCTGAAATTCTTTTGTTTTCTTAATTTTTTTTCCAAATTGAAAACCCAGAAACTCAACTGCTACTTCAAGTTGGTGTAAGCATACCAGAGAGTCTGATTTTTCAAATTATCAACTAGTAGTGTGTTCTAAGACTTTCAATAGGAGTAGTTCCTGTATCTGAGATTGTTTCTAGACAAGTGAGGTCCTCATCATGGGAAACCTGTTTGGACTGCCAAACATTTCTTTCCTTGCTCTTGCATCCTGGTCATAGTGGTTATCAAGAGTCAGGAAAAATCATTCTGTTAACATTTTAAGTATTATATACAACATTAAACTTAAGCACTTCACATAATATGCTATATCAGAAGTTAGTCAGATCAATGTAAATCGATAACAAATGTTGAGGGTCACATGATCTCTGTCACCATCACTCAACTATCATTGCACAAGAAGCAGCCACAAGAGCATAGGAACAATGTGATGAGCTGCATTCTAACAGAGAGTTATTTACACAAAGGTTGTGGTTTGTTGTCCCTTGCCTTAGACTAACAGATGGATAATCATATTATTGAATGCTACAGCATAGGTTTGGAGCCTCCTCCAAGAACTAACTTACTTACATAAGCTGTGTGTGCTTAAATTGTGCGTATTTATGCCATAAAGCTTTAGCATCACAAAATTTCAGAACACCAATGTCAATGAATTTCAGTGTGAATGCTGTATCAAGGTCTAGAGGTTGCAATAATTCTGTTTCTCTCTTCTTTGCCTAGTGTTCCCTCTACTATCAGCAGTTCCATGCCATGTTCATAAAGAGGTTGATGTATAATTGGCGAAACTGGAGGGTGCTTTTGGTACAGATACTGGGACTTGTTATCTCTTCTCTCTTTCTCCTGAAGTCTCATAACCTTAGATATGAAGATGAGAAAACAAGGCAAATGAATTTGAGTGAATATGGTCAAACCATTGTGCCTTTTTCTATTTCTGGAAAATCTAGTTTGACGACAAGTCTCTTACTACACCTTGAGAATATGCTAAAGCCTGGTGGCCACAAACTTAAGGAAGTACAAGGTAAGGCTAACTTAGAAAGAACAGAAAGTTGTCTTTTCAATGATTTTCCTGGGTCACTTCCAAAGAAAGGTCATAACTGTAACATGTTAACTTGATCCATTCTTTTCCTGATACTCATTATACCACAGAGACAATTAAACAATAGCAATGTCTTTATTAAAGCTACTGGTCTCAAAAATTAGTTGGTATTAGTTACACTTTGTGAACATTTACTGTTTCCCTCTAGTTAAACACACACAATAGATAGATGATAGATAGATAGATACATAGATTGATTGATTGATAGAAGAAAGTGCCTAAATATAATTTTTTATGAAATTGGGCATAGTCCTACTTTTTGGGAACAATGAAATACAGCATGGAATTGTGGCCTCCAGTTCTGAACTTCAGTTCTTTTGTAGTAATAACTAACTGTTTAATTGGAGCCTCCAGCTCATCCCTGTCCAGTCTGGAAAGCCCCATTCCTCTCTTTCTCTCTCCAAACCCTGACCACTCAGCAAGTCTCCAAACAAAAGAAAGGTGCCAAAAGCCCAGTTCTGCATTCTTTGTGACTATTGCAACTTCCTCCTCTGATGTCTCCAGCTGCCAAGTTCCTGCCTATGTGCTCAGCTTTTGACTAGACTTGGGCACAAACCCAGCTTGTGGCAGATACATCATCACCCCTTGCCTACACTCTATAAAATCTCCCTGTTTTAGTTCAGGGCACAACTTCTCTGACCTTATTCCTGGAGGTGAAAGAACCGACCCAGAAGTTGCTTTGCTCAATATACCTGTTGTTATACTTTTTCAATTGGCTTGATCTGGCTTACTGTATCAATGGAGAAACTTATTATGTGGGGGTGGGGTGGGGAACAGAAAACCTTTTTAATATCGGAAACAAACCTGAAGACTGTGGGGACAGGCTACTAAAAACATAGCAATAAAGTTTATATTTTCTCTGCTGAATACTTTTCATTTAATTTGAGAAATCACCATATTCAGTAGATATTTTTACTACTTTTTAACAAATAAGCTTTAATGACATTTAAAGAAGTCAACTATTTTGCCCCAGACAGAAGATGCAGATGTGGGTTTAACCTGATCTGCCTTCATCTATAAACCACTCAATATAATACACTACCTCTCTGAATATAAATTATGTTCTCTTTCAAATGTAATAATTTCTTCCCAGATGGGTAATATTTTCTTCACTACCTGATGGATACTGTTCCTTTGGTGAACACATATTTTTTTGGGATAAGCAAAGCCATTTTGTTTTGTTCCTCTCTCTCCTTCAGGTTTTGTTCTGAAGTATGAAAATATGCTTAAGGATGTTAACTGTTCTTTTAAAACATAATCCCAGTGGAACAACTTACAAATCATAAATTGGCTGATTTTAAAAAATGTTCTTATTCTTTTTCTTCACAATGATAGATGTGCTGTCCCTAATGTAGTCTTCTAATCCCATCTCTCTGAAGGCTGAGGAAGAAGGATCACAAATTGACATTTGAAGCATGCATATTTCTAATTTAAATAAAAAAGGAAAAACTTGACACATCAATTTTTAAGTTTTTTTCTAATTATCTTAGTCATGGAAACTTTAATAAGTATTTTTATTAATTGTTGTATTGTCTCTCTGTTTTAAACTTCATATCATTATAAAAATTGCTATTTATGGTAAAGAATTGACATTAAATCCTTTAGAACTTGCTCTCTCTTTGCCATAGACAATAGAAAACTGTTTTCCAGTGGGGAAAGAGGTTTCTAAGTAATCTTGCATCTGTTTTTTAACTTCTGAAATGATCTATGCCTTAGCAACACTAAACATTTTTAACTCTTGAGAATTTCATACAGATGTACAGCAAAATATAAAACACCCATTTTCCCACTCAAATTCATCCCATATCCTCCCAACATGTCCATCTCACAACAATATTTCTTTATAGCCCATTAAACCAATCAGTGCTTCCCATATGTGCATGGGTGGTAGCAGCCACTGGATCATCGGAAGCCTACCAGTGGCCAGATATTCAAAAAGTAATTTCTGTCCCCTAGAAACTATTAATTGCTAATAGCTCCTCAGTAAAGGATGAGGTCTAGAGATCATCTCCCCCGCCCCTCTATGTTGGAATTCTGACTTTATCTTGTGAAGGTCTTGTGCAGGAAGTCACAGCTGCTGTGAATTCATGGATTCAATGGCTGCATCATGTCCAAAAGACAGCCTTTCACAGCTCTCCTCCCTATCCTCTGGCATTTGCATTCTTTCTGCCTCTTCTTCTGAAATGTTCCCTGAGCCATGGCTAGAAGGTTAATACAGATGTCCCATATTTATTAGGCCTGAGCCTGAAAGCTCTTATTCTCCGTACAATCATCAGTTGTACATCTTTACATTGACGGGTACCCACTACAAAATGAAGCTTCTCTGGACAAGGTTGTGTGACCTCAAGTCTATTGGTATAAACATATTTAGACATTAGCTTGACAGTATGACTTTTTAGCAAAGGAAAAATAGCAAATTTTTTCCTAGGGCCTATTACCTCCCACTCCATGAACTTTTGACCAATAATTCAGTACTATGCATCAAATTCCCTCCTGTGGAGCAGATCTCAAATTTAATCCTGAAGTGATTATTACTCCATAAGCAATCATGGCACTACTGTGCAGTGGTTATATCTTGTAGCATGCAGTCCAGTGCTGGATGAAACTATTGATGTCTTTCTTTTCCTTAGGAGTCTCTACAGCATCTTCCAGCAGTATGGAGGCTAGCTAATAGGGAGGAGGTTTCCTGGCCCATTTTGGGAATTGATTTTTCTCTGTCCTGTATCTAAATGTGTAGCATCTTCAATGATATGGACTTATTGTGATTTTATTATGGGTGATCAAGGGCTGTACTGATTTGGAGACGTATGGGACTTTGCTGCCCAATAACTTATAGGTAGTCCAATAAGTGATTCATGTTCTGCATTGAGATTTATTTCCTGTCAATTCTGGGAGTTATGCAGCCCTGTAAATTTTTTAAGACTCACCATAAATTGGGTGAGTGTAAGCTCTTGAAAGGTATTCAAGCACCACAGTAACTCAGGAAGCACTCCCTGCCTTCCCAGACTGAACAAAACTGTCTTCCCTTCATCCATTTAGAAGCATGTCTCATTTGCGGGTTTCATCACACCAAACTACAACTGTGAATTAGTCATCTGCCTCTCAACAGAAATTATGAGGAGTTCAGAACCTCCTCTGAATCTCTAGATCCTAGCCCAGTTCCCTTCACATAACAAGCATACAGAGCAACATAATCTCAGCATACTCAGTATGGGGAAAACACTGGGAAAGGGAGAGACTACAGCTGAGGTGTTACAGTAGCAGGCTAGGCAAGGGAGCAAGAATAATAGGGCTAGAGGAAAGAGGGTGTGTTCAAAAGATACATCTTAGGTGGATTGAATAGATTTGTATTCTGTCTTTATAAGTGGAAGAGAATCAGAATAAGTACCATTTAGCTTTATTATTTTGCTAATATTTTATTTTGTGATTTATGTAGGTTTACAAGATATTGAGAGGCCTTGTGCACTGATGGTAACCTCTAGTAAAGCTACAATATGAGAATGGAATCAGGTTATTGAAATACCTCTCCTTTCCTTCCTGTTGCCCTTATTACCACACTAACTTCCTGTTTATTCCCACCCATATCCCTGAAAACTACTAGTCTCTATTCTGTTTCTGTAGATTGATCATTCAAGAGTGATAAAAAATGGAATCAAACAGTGTGTAAAATTTTGGAATGGACATTTTCACTTAGGGTGATTTTCTGGTAATTGTGTGTATCCAACATTTGTTTCTTTAATTGCTAACTACTATTCTTTCACATGGCCATGGTGCAATTTATTTAACCATTCACTCATTGAAAGACACCTAAGGTTTCCCCAGTAAGCACAGCTATAAGTAAAGCTTTTGTTATGCAACTTGCATCTTCATTTCTCTTTCTCATATAATTGCATTATAATCTATGAAGATCCATCTTCTTTTCAGAGTACTCTGCAGTTTTACTTTTCCAACATTTACATTTCTCAGGGTACCTAATTCTTTATATGTTATGCTTATATTTCATATATGTTAAGGCAATTCTAGTCCTGTAAAATGTAAAATTAAGATGTGGATTGAGAAGGAAAGTGGTTTGAAAATAATAAGGATAATGAAGTGCAATTATGTGTGTAGACAAATGAGTCTACACACACCTCGTGGTGATTGGGTTAAGGGATTCGTCCATAGCTGGTAAAACACATTTCCAAGTGTGCCCATTAGGGTATTTCCAGAATAGATCAGAATTGCAATCAGTAAATACAGTGAAATAATTTGCAAGCTGAAGCCCATATGGGTAGACATCATCCAACCCATGGCAGGACTGTGTGAGTCTTATTTGAGGCTGGGCAGCTTAGTCTGTCTCCTCCTCACTATTGTGCAGGGCATGATGTTCTTGGGCCACACTGGGATACTAGAGACTTATGGAGCTTCCCTACCACTCAGAATAGAGCAGAATGCTGGGCTCCCCTCAATGTTTTTATTCTTTTCAAGGTCTTGACAAAAAATGTTGTTGCTTTCTAGTACTGCTATATTTGCAAAAGGTGATTTTAAAAAATGTTCATATAGTTTTTCCTTTTTATCAGAGGAGAGTTTTGAGACCTCTGTGATGTGAGAGTAATTCTTACAAATCTGTTAAAGACAGGTAGGTGAGTTGAAGGAGTGCATCAGGCTGTGTTTTCTCAGCAAATTGTAGTTTAGGTTATAGAAAATACAATGAGGCATCCTGGAATTTAATGATGGAAAAGCGTTCCAAGGGTAATAGCAAAATTTTGAAATTATTATCTCCACAAAATTTAAAGTGGTAAGAAATGTAATTATTTGTTCTTGGATGCCATTCGTTAGTGTGATCTGTATGTTGGATCCACTGACCAGTATTGTGTCTTCGCTCTAGGTGACCTACTCAAATACCTGGAAGGAAATAAAGAATGCATTCATTTATGTATTATTGCACTTTCCATCAAGGTGGTTGCAAATAGAACAAAGCTAACTGTTCTATTCAACAATGAAGCTTACCATTCACCATCTCTATCCCTGGCAGTTTTAGACAACATTCTTTTCATGTCACTTTCTGGTGCTGATGCTTCCATAACCATCTCCAATAAACCTCAGCCACGCTCCCAGGCTAAAGAAAGTCTAGGGTATGTTTGTTTCATGTTTTTACATTTGCACTTGAAATGCATTCTTCCCACCCTATTCAATTATGTTTCTGTGATATTAGCCATTGATGGAAATAGCGTCCTTGATGAATCTTTTGGTTCCTTCTGTAGGAGTGCAGAAGGAAAGGTGGTTGCCTTAAAAATTCAGCTGGGCATGGCTCTTTTGGTCAGTGGCTTTTGCCTCCTGACAGTGACTGAGAGAACCACCAAGGCAAAGCACATTCAGTTTCTGAGTGGGGTCTCTGTCCTCGTGTACTGGCTTTCTGCTCTCCTGTTTGATTTAATCATCTTCTTTGTTTCATGCTGCCTACTATTGGTGAGTGTCAGACAATGTTTATGAGAGTTTATTTTCCTTTAGTTCCAAAAGGAAAATCTATCTTCTAGCTGATGTTCTCATAAACATAGCTATTCCAATAAAAAATCTTGCTCATTATTGTATAAAGCACATTTCAGCACTGGGAATGGTGGTGAACATCTGGAATTTCAGCACTTGGGAGGTAAAGGCATAAAGGTTAGGAGTTCAAGGTCATCCTCAGCTATATTCCTAGTTCAAGGTTGGTGTGCATGAGACCCTGTCTAAATAAATAAATAATCCAAAATTCTTTTTTTTTTTTTGGTTTTTCGAGACAGGGTTTCTCTGTATTGTTTTGGAGGCTGTTGGTCCAGCCTGGCCTCGAACTCACAGTGATCTGCCTGCCTCTGCCTCCCGAGTGCTGGGATTAAAGGTGTGCGCCACCACCGCCCGGCATAATCCAAAATTCTTAAGGTAGACTAGGAAAATAACTTCAAAATGCTTTATTACAACAAAGTAACCTTCATTTGTCATAGTACAAGTGTATCTCTTGGACTAATTTCCCAGTGTTTCCTTTTTAGCTTTTGCTGAATTCTAAAACTATTCAAAGTAGAAAGTTTCTTACTGTGTTTCATACTTCATACTACTGAACTATGGTCTCAACAGAATTATTGCCACCTTTCCTAATTTTAAGTCTCCATCAGAATATCTTAAATATTTTTTCAAATACTAGGATAGTTATTACAAAAAACTACTAAAAAGTAAGTAGGTTTGGAAAAATTGGAAACCTTGACACCTGTGGGTGGGGATCAGAAAGATGGATGTTGCCAGGAACAACATGGCAGGCTTCTCAAAGGTAGCCAATGGCACTACCCTATAATTAAACATTCCAGTTCCAGATGTGAGAGATGGAACAGAATCTCAAAGATACATCATCGTCTTACTTCCACTATATACTAATCACAACAGTCAAAATGTGGAGGAGACCTTAATGACTGCCAGCAGATGCATAGAGAAAGAGAATGTGGTATCTGCATGCAACATTGCATCAGTTAGCCTTAGGAAAAAAACTGCTTCTCATATGTGCTGTTACTATGGATGAAAGTAGGGGATATTTATACAAAACACAGCAACCATCCAAAGCCAATACTGTGTGTTTCTACTTTATGAAATAAACAAAATAGCCAAAGTCAGAGAATCAGCATGTGGAATGGTGGTTTCTAAAACTTGGGAGAAGATTCAGTCAAGCAAGATTCAAAATTTATGCTTCCTTATATGGTTTTCCACATGAATTGTAAGTAACTAAAAAGTGAATACTGGAATGAGTATGGGAAGTAGGCTAGACTTAAAAAAACCTAAGTTAAAAGCAAGGGATATAAATAAGAGGCAACTGATGAACTATAAGGAAAACATTTAAACAAATGATCTATTTTCTGGAAAAGTTGATAGCTAGCTGTCATTAGTATAAGAGTCTCCTGGTTCTGTGTAGGAATCTTTAGAGAAACTCTTCTAGGGAGAAAACCAAAATAAGAAAAGACCATGGTTATGATTCTGCTTGCTAGGATGTCCACTGGTGAGGGGGAAGGTGTACCTGACCTGAGTTCATGCTCATAATCTGTGTGTTTTATTATTTCAAAGAGGCAGAAAATGAAAGTCTTGGTATTTTCTTTCTTCCTTTCTTTTTTAAATATGTATTTATTTTATGTGCATTGGTGTTCTTGCTGCATATATGTCTGTGTGAGGGTGTCCAATTCCCTGGAACTGCAGTTATAGACAGTTGTGAGTTGCCATGTGGGTCCTGGGAATTGAACCAAAGTCCTCTGGAATAGCAGTCAGTGCCAGTGCTCTTAACTACTGAGCCAACTCTCCAGCTCTTTCTTTCTTTCTTTCTTTCTTTCTTTCTTTCTTTCTTTCTTTCTTTCTTTCTTTCTTTTCTTTTCTTTTCTTTTCTTTTCTCTCTCTCTCTCTCTCTCTCTGTCTCTCTGTCTCTCTGTCTCTCTCTCTTCCTCCCTCCCTCCCTCCCTCCTTTCACTCTTCTTCCCTCCCCCCTCCCTCTGTAGTGTGGTATGTGGGGCTGGGAGAGAGACAGAGACCCTGGCCTCACTTTTATCTCTGTCCCCTCTGTTTCAGGTTGTGTTCAAATACTGCAAAATTGATATTTATGTCACAGACTACCATTTTCTGGAGACAATGCTGATCCTCACACTGTTTGGATGGTCTGCCATTCCCCTCACATACCTGATGAGCTTCTTATTTTCTAAAAGCACCTCTGCCTACGTCAAAATTATCATGTTCAATTATGTGTCTGGCATTTTCAGTATCTTGATAGATACCTTATTAGTAGCTAGTAAGTGTGAGCACTTCACAAAATGGCCCCTTCCCCAGAGACAGCAATAAATAAATCAGTAGCAGTAATGGGCCTAAAGATATGGGAGTTAGTAGACAGTTAAATTCTAGGGTTTGGGACACATCTGTATTAGCTATATCTCAACAATCTTTCTTGAGTTTCTATGCTCATGTTCCACTCATAATGCCTGTATTAAAAAGCTGAGACCCAACATGAGCTTCAGATCCTCAGTGGGACTTCTCCCCCACTTCTTGCAGCTCAGATTCAGTGAGTCTGTAGTAATTTCAGAACTTGGGTTATTACATGGAGATCTTTGCTCCTTTGGAACTGATTTTGATGCAGGGTGAGATATACAGATCTAGTTTCATTCTTTTCTACAGTGGATATCTATTTTTCTTAGCACTATTTGTTGAACATGCCATGTTTTTTTTTCTTCACTGTGTACTTTTGGCATTTTTGTCAAATCTCACATGGCTGGCAGTTACATGGCCCTTTTAGACCCAATTTCAGAAAACTCAAGATTATTTGACTTAGATGGATACAGAAATAAATATTTCCCTTAAGAATTTGTCAGTACTTGCATATATTTTGTTCTAAAAATATAGTAACTATGTGGGGAAAAAACAAGCAAAACAACACTAGTAGTTTGTTTTAAATAATTTCAGCTGGCTGTGGTCCCAGGTGAGTAGTAAAAACATATACAAATTTCCTGACTCCCTGATAATCTGAATTAAATCCCATATAAATAAGATTTTAAAATTTTTATTTGTTTTTATTTTTCTGTATGTGTGCCTGCTTGTCTGTGTGCATACAATGTGAAGTCTGTGGAGACCAGAAAAGGGCATCACATTTCCTAGAACCAGAGATACAGGTGGTTGTAAGTCACTGTGTGGGCGCTGGGAACTCATGTCCTCTGAAAGATTAGCCAGTGCTCTTAACTGCTGAGCCATCTCTATAGCCCCCAAAGAAGATACTGTAGTATCCAAACCAAACCTGAATATACTTCAAACTTAAACATATAGTGTATATATTAAAATGTGCATTGTAACAGAGTCTTAGGAGTGTAAACAAATAACAAAACACTCAAATAGATTTGGAAAATATTTACAGACAAAACTTTTAAATGAAAATAAACTCAAGTATGGTTAGGCAGGAGGAATCCATTCTAGGGTTATATTGCACAACAAGGTAATTATTCTTCATAATGATATGTATTTTTAAATCTCTAAGAGATTATTTTAAATAATCTCATCACAAATGAAAATACTTGATGTGATGGGTCCATTAACTATTCTTATTTGATTGTTCCACAGTATGAACATCTGTTATAATGTCATATATTATTCCATAAATACAATTATTACATGTCAATTAAAATAAAGCCAAAACAACTTCTGCAGATTAAAGTTTTCAAATACCATCCATAGTTAAAGTAAGAAGTAGTAAAGATTAACACAAAAGAAATATACTTATACTATTACATGACATAGAAACAACAAAACCATAAAATTGTAAAATCATTGGAGGATAGAGAGGTTCTAATATAGAGCCAAATAAAGTTTAGAAAGAAATTTAGAAGACAAAGAATAAGTGTTTGAAATTTTTGGAATATCCAGGCTTGTTCACAGGCAGAAATCTTTAGTTGTAGAAAGTTTCCCTCACCTGGTTCAAGCAATTGATACACTGGGCCTCAAGGCTAAAAGAATACCATAGCCACAAACACAGCCCAAGAGTGAACTAGAAAGGGGCATGCGTGAATTCCAGTGTCCATGCTAGAGAGACACTTTAAAGTATAACTTGCAAAGCATAATGTGTCCAGTGCAGAAGGAGGAAGAGACAGGAGGGGGTAGAATGGAGTGGCAAAAAGTAAACAGAAAGTAATGTGACAGTGATTATTAGCACAGAACACCAGTACTGAAGCTAAGTGACAACACAGGATCATTAGATAAGGTTTGTGTAATAGATTCTCCAAGTCTAAGTTCTAGATCCATGCTATTTACATTAAACATAGTTTCAGAAACTAAGATACACAAAATGCAGTAGTCACTAAAGATAAGATATGCATATAGAAAACTAAAACTTGAGCTATGATAGTGATGTGATCAAATGTATTTTTCATGTTAAAATTATTGGAGATACAGAGGATTACAATATGGTACAAGATTCATTTTAGCATTAAGTGCTAAGAGTTCTAAATTTTATATACTTGATAGGAAATATGAATACTCAGAATTATTAGAATGACTTCAAGGAGTTGCAAAAACACAATATCATAACAGAAGTTTTTATATATCTTTCTTAGAATTCATAGACAAGATAGATGGAGGAGAAGTTGACAAATAGTTACTACCGAGCAAACCATTCATTGGGTGTGAGTTAATGAGCACATTGTTTCATGATATCTGAAAAGCCTAGCAGATGGTGCACTGTCCAGCCTAATATAGAAAGGGAAATGCCATCACCATCTGAAGTAACACACATCTAAGAACTTAAACATGAGCCAAGGAAGAGCAGCAGGAAGTAGGAACTACTTAGGGAGCTGAAGAGTAACATGCCCTGCAGCCAATTGGCTATCTGAAAAAACAATATAGCTATAACATTTAAATGTTATGAAAGCTAAACTGTAATGGCCATACAACCTCAAATGGAGTAACATTCAAAGTAAGAAGAATTATAGACAAAAAGAAGTAAAAAATTAACTGGCTAGAAAGTGTACATGCTATGCAGAGACCACGCAACTTGAGAAATAGATATAATGGCAAGTAGAGTAGGAACCAGCAAACAGGCATTTACACAGTTGCTGTACCATTGGAAGCATTCTATCAAAAAGAAGTAAGGTAGGAAGGAAGGATGAAAGGAAGGAAGGATGGAAGGAAGGAAGGAAAGAAAAAAATGTCCTCTTAGACATGACAACATTGGACCAACAAACATAAAAACTTGTACTTCTAAAAATGCAATTTACTAAACCAGATTTCAGAAAAGGTAGAAAATTGGTAATGAACTATAAGCATCAAGTACTTAGTTAAAATTCTTTTCACAGAGGAAATACTATCCACAGGTAGCTCTATTTCACCAAAAAGACTTTTCAGAATTCTGTAATTATCGCCACAAACTCAAGCTGTAAACGAAGCCAAAACCTATTAGCAAGTAATGGACATTGTTCAGAGATAACCATCTGGGTTTCAGTTCCCTGAGGTTGGTTTGATAATTCCTAGGGGACTTCTTATCCTAGAGGTGATTTGTTTTCTCTTACATAACCTGTTCTTGTCACCCTTTTAGAAATGCCAGTTACCTTGTCTAATACCACCAAAGCCTTCCTGCTCAACACACTACTGCTCTTTCCCACTTACAACCTCGGGAAGTGCATAGGTGACTACACTGTTATTTACCAGAGGAAAATACAGTGCACACAGCAGAAGAATGTTCCCAAATACCTGAATTGTAGCAAAGAAAGTAAGTATATTGGGGACGTAGACCCTGAGGTTAAACGCTGGTCATCAGGTTTGTTGGCAAGTGCCTTTATTCAGTCAGCCATTTCAATAGTACTTTTCATTCTTATGATTCCTGAGATAGTTTAGCAATTTCTCAGTCTATTCAGAAAATAAGCTTTCAATTTTATTGATTCATTTCATGTTTATTTTCTAATTTAGTGTATTTTAGTATGTGTTGGTAGACTGTCTTAAGATGGTAAGAAGAGTTATTAAGCTATTTATTGTCAATATGTTTATTCTCTTTCATGATTAGCATTATGTCAGTATAGCTTAGGGGAAATCCATGTTTCTCCTGCTTTTATTGCCTGAACTTACAGGGTTTATGGTTTGATGTATTGGGAAAATTCTCATTCTTGGTGTTCTAGTTACAGTTACTTTTGCTGTGATGAAACACCATGACTAAAAGCAAGTTGGGAAGGAAAAGATTTATTAGGCTTACACTTCCACATGGTTGTCCATCATTGAAATAAGTCAGAACAGGAACCTGGAGGCAGGAGCTGGTGCAGAGGCCATGAAAGAGTGCTGCTTACTGCCATGCTTCCCATGGCTTTCTCAACTTGATTTCTTATAGAACCCAGGACCACCAGCTCAGGGATGGGCATCACCCACCATGGGCTGGACTCTTCTCCGTGGATCACTAATGCCCTATACCAAATCCTACGGAGACATTTTCTCAGTTAAGGCCCTATTGTTTTTTCTCAGCACAGCGGCAGCGCCTGAATTTACTACTGTTTCAGCCAATAATTGTGGCTCAGCAGTTACTGGCTGCTTCTCAGGTAGTGGCCTGGCATGACTTTTACATGCCAGTAGATCTAACCCCTGTAACTGACATCAAATGTAGTTTTTTACTAAATCTCTATCAGTCTATTTATCAGTAAGACTCTGGAGTCAGAAGCTGGAGTGAAAACAACTAGCTCAGAGAGATTGAGGAGCAACTAGCTGACCTTACCTCTTCGTGGCATCTCAGAAAGAGAGTCCTTCTGCTCCACCGAACTGAAAAAGACCATCACACCCAAAATACCTCTTTACTACTACTTATGTGTCTCTCCATCTTCCAGACTCCCTCTGACTCTCTATAATTACTTTCTGTCAACTAGTTGCTGCCTCCATCTCCTGACTGAAGGTTTATTTTATTTATTTAATTAGCACAAATACAAACGGGGTTCACAGTGTGTTCAAATATAACACAACAAGGCTCCCTCTTTTCCAGTGATCCTAGATTGTATCAAGTTGACATAAAACTAGCAAGCATACTTAGAAAGAAAAATAAGGAAGGAGAAACTGGTCAGGGTGTATTGCATGAAAAAAAAAGAAAAATTGAAAGGCAGAATTGTCTCTTAGAGACTTGAGGTTGTGCAAATAGCTTCAATTAAGGGCACTGCGGAACACAAAGCCTGCCAGGGAATCAGAAGATGGTATCCATTACACTCCCTGCCTCCCTCCACCTAACAGGAGATGATGAGACAGTATCCACTACACTCCACACCTCCCTCCACCTAACAGGGGATAAGAAGACAGTATCCACTATACTCCCTGCCTCAGTCCAAAAGCAGTGGGTACAACTCTGCTCTTCACTCTACAAAGAGACATGGCTTCCATATTCCACACATCCAAGTGGTCATCCCACAAAATGGCAGCTGTGTTGATGGTCTGAGAAATAATCATTTCCAGAAAAAAAGGAAGTCAATATCATTGAAAGGGTATAGAAGGCAAAAAAAATACAAAAATAAGACATACAATAAAATGTTCTTTTAAAAACTCCATAGAGGCAGTTTATTTACAAATTATCTTATGGTATCAAAGTATGGAGATGGGGTAAATTTGGCAAGATACCAATATTGATACCAGTCGAAGGGATCCGTGGCCATTCTGATGTTGTTTCTATTTTACTTCCCATTTAAGAATTGTGCAAATTATAACACAAGGAGAGAACAGTTTCCAGAAGACAACACAGAATGTACAATTTCTAACCATTCATATTAAAACTAATATGTTGTTACCTTAAGGACATATAATTGACACTCTTATGTGTCGATAAAAATGTATGCAATTTATGGGCACCCCCCGGGGGTGGAAAAATGAGGGAGCAGCTAAGCTTGTGTGGACTTCACTTGAAGGGAGTGGGTTCACAGATGTCATTATGATGTTATGCCTAAAATGTGTATGGATGTAGCTTTGCAATGAATCAAGTATTTTAAAACCATAATTCTAAAGTGTGAGAAATGAAAAGACTACTAAGAATATTAAATATAATGGTCTCTATAAAAATCATAGTTTTCCTAATAAGTTATTAGATTTTATAATAAATCAATGTAGCTAATGAATTCAAAATAACAAAAACACAAGATTCAATTGTATTTACACATGCATTGCAAATGTTTATGGAATACTACTCTTTAAAAGGAAAGTTCAGGGCCCACAGTGTCTCAGTAGGTAAAGGTACTTGTCACACAAGCCTGGTGACCTGAGTTTGGTCCCTGGGACCCAAAGACAGAGAAATAGTTGTCTTCTGATCTCTACACTCATCCTATGTTATATGTGCATGTGCACACACACGTACATACACACATGTACATAACATGACGATATGCATGCACACGCTAATTAAAAAGTGCAAGGAGTTCAAAGTCATAAAATGGAGCAATTTGGATTAAAAGTAGAGTTGTATTATAGGTCAAGGTGTAGAAAAGGATTATTAATCTATTTTTATGAAAACATGGGAACTCTGAAAATTACTTTTTTACTTTTATTGGTTATAATCAAATGAAATGATCTAAATTTGATATTTCAATGCTCAGTATGGAAAAGTGTGAGAAAGAAGGGGTTTACAGCAGAGAAAGCTAACAACATGACATCAAACAGGTACTCACATCAATAGCAGTAGAATTAATTCATACTGATAATACGCACCTCATTTTTGATATGAGGAAAGGGCACCTTCCTCCATAGGGTTCCAAAGACCACAACACCACTATAATCATGAAAAGGATTATATAATCACAGACAAGAAAATATAGGGGATGACTACTAAGGGTAATGTATCTGGGATTGGAATATGAAAGCGAAGAGGGAAATTGTATTAAAAGCTAGGAAATGTTAATGAATCTGGTATTAATAAGGTATTCATATCTGTCCACTCATGATAACATTCATCATACTAACACACCTGGTGAATAATAAGGAAGAATGAGTGCAAGGTACAGAAAACTCTTTGAAATTATTTTTGTAAGTATGTATTTCAACCATCAGGCTGTGGAGATAGCTCAGTTGTCAAAGTGCCACATAAGCATGAAGGCCTGAGCTCGATTCCCAAAACTCACATAAGAAAGCCAGGGCTGCTGGCACAGGCTTGGAATCTCAGTGCCAGCAAAGTGGAGAAATATGACTTATTGGGCTAGCTGTCTTGACTTATTGTTAGACAATTAATATCTATGTTAATATTTATATTCTTACTATGTTACTGTACAATACATTAATGAGGGTCAGTCTTCAAAGTTTTTCTCTTAATCTGCATTTTCATAACAGGCTAATCACTTCTCAAGCTCCGAATACTGTGTGCAAGTTTAGCCTAATATCTCATCTTATCCTGTTTCTTACTTGGTATTTTATTAGTTGTTCATGTCAGTGTTGCACAATAAATTAAGTGTGATACTCCCATTTTTCTCCCCTCCTTCCTCAGATATTGAGCAGAATATTTATTCTTTAAAGGAGCATATGATTGGAAAGTATTTAATTGCTATGGGCATCACAGGCTTAGTTTCCCTCCTCTTCATTTTCTTTTGGGAGAACACTTTTTGGAAATTAAGAATGCTTATTCATCAACACATTTACTTTGGTGTCTGCAAGAAATACAAGACAGTAAGTACTTAAGCATGGAACAAGTCAAGAAAAAATAAAAATTCTAGTAGCATTGACATTAGACAAGGAAAGTGTTGTTGTATATTACTACCTCAGTTAACAGAGAAAAATGGCAGTGTCTACAGGAATGTCCTTCCTTAAAGCCATGCTAAGATATTACCTACAATAAAGTAAATTCATTTTGATTATCATTTTGAAGTGCTAGATTTTGTTCCTATGAATTTTATCTATTACCACTTTCTCTTGCATTCAGTTTTTTGTATTTATTTTTATAATTTTCCTTGTTCCACTCACTTTCAGTTTTCACTTCTCCTTTGTTAATTTCCTGATTTCTTTTTTTAAGCAAGTTTAAAGCCATGGCTCTTAAATCTCTCATTAATAAAAAATGAGCATTTAACAATACAGATATCAAACCACATCTGGTGATACAGGTCTATAATTCTAGCTACTCAGGAGCCTGAGACATAAGGATCGCAAGTCCAAGGCACTCTTGAGCCACAGGGGAGTTCAAAGACAGCCTAAGTAACTTAGACATTGCCTCAAAAATGGAAAGTAATAACTCAGGCTTCTAGGTAAGATGACAGAACTGTTTCCACATGCCCTGGCTAAGGAAAAGTTAGTAAAAGAGTAGACTGTATTCCTAAGACCAAAAGAGGCAATTTGAGAAATTCATGAAGGTAATGAAAAGACAGCTAAAGAACACCCAGGAAAAGATGGGTACCCATGAAAGAGAGTGAGTCAAGCCATTCTGTAGACACATGGCTTCCTGGTGGTGAAGCAGAAGTTTCATCTAAAAGGCAAGCCAGGTGGTTCAACTGAAGACAATGTCACTTCCCAATGAGATTTGACTCCAATCTAGTTCTTTTAAAAATAGTTTATATGCTTTATTTATATTAAATTTAAACTTACATACCAATCCCAGTGCCCTCTCTCTCCTATCCTCCCACTCCTCCCACCATCCCCTCATCCACACCTCAAAGAGGGTGAGGTCTCTCATGGGGAATCCTAAAAGTCTGTCACATCATTTGGGCAGGACCCAGGCCCTCCCCCCCTGTATCTAGGCTGAGCAAGTCATCCCTCCACAGGGAATGGATTCTACAAACTGCCCAAGACCCCCAACTGTCATTTTCATTCAGGGGGCCTAGTTCAGTCTTGTGAAGGTCCACAGTCAATGAGCTCACACTTGTTTGGGTCAGCTGTCTTTGTAGGTTTTTCCAACATGGTCTTGATCCCTTTGCTCCTATTATCACTCCTCTCTCTCTTCATCTGGACTCCAGGAGTTCAGCCCAGTGCTTAGCTGTGGATCTCTGAATCTGTCCCCATCAGTTACTGGATGATGGCTCTATCATGGCATTTAAGGTAGTTATCAATCTGACTATGGGGAAAGGCAGCTTAGGTTCCCTCTCCACTATTGTTTAGATTTTTCATTGGGGTCATCCTTGTGGATTCTTGGGAATTTTCCTAGTGCCAGGTTTCTTGTTAACTCCATAATGGTTCCCTCTGTCAAGGTATTTCTTTCCTCTCTCCTACCATCCTTCCTCCTCCCCATACACTCCCAAATTGCTCATGAGATCTTGTCTATTTTCCCTTCTCAGGGTAGGGTCCTTGTTGTTTCCTAGCTTCACTGGGGTTGTGGACTGTAGGCCCTCCATGGGGGTGTCCATAGTCTGTCATTTCATCCAGGGCAGGGACTAGACCCTCCCCCAAGAGTCCAGGGTAAGAGTGCATCTCTCATTGTTGGATGGGAGTCCAAAGTCTATTTGTATACCCGGGATAAATGCTAGGCTCAATAGATTACCTAGGCCTCCTCACTGACACCCCCATTCAGGGGGTCTTGATCGGTCCCATGCTGGATTCCCAGGCAGCTGTTTCTGGGGGTTAAACCAGCCCAGTCTTAATGCCTTTGGTCATCAGTCTTCCCTCTCTGTCACTGGATTTCTTGAGTTCAGCTCAGTGCTCAGCCATGGGAGTCTGCCTCTTCTTCCATCAGCCACTGAATGAAGGTTCTGTTTCCCAGACTCTCTGGCCATGGGATTGTAGGCTGGCACTCCCCAGATCTATGTCTAAAATCCATATATGAGAGTACATGCCATGTTTCTCTTTTTGTGACTGGGTTATCTCGCTCAGGATGGTTTCTTCTAATGTCATCCATTTGCCTGCAAATTTCAGGATTCCATTTTTTTTTCTGCTGAATAGTACTCCATTGTGTAAATGTACCACATTTTCTCTGTCCATTCTTCAGCTGAGGGGCATCTATGTTACTTCCAGGTTCTCGCTATTACAAATAATGCTGCTATGAACATAGTTAAACAGATGTCCTTGTGGTATGAATGTGCATTTTTTGAGTATATGTCCAAGAGTGGTATTGCTGGATCTTGAGGTAGGTTGATACCTAATTTTCTGAGAAGCTGCCATACTTATTTCCTAATTGGCCGTACAAGATTGCACTCCCACAAGCAATGGAGTGTTCCTCTTATTCTACATCCTGTCCAGCATAGGCTTTCATTAGTGCTTTTAACCTTAACTATTCTGACAGGTGTAGGATGGTATCTCAGAGTGGTTTTGATTTGTATTTCCTTGATGACTAAGGAGATGAGCAATTCCTTAAGTGCCTTTCAGCCATTTGAGATTCCTCTGTTGAGAATTTTCTATTTGGATCTATACTTCATTTTTAAATTGGATTATTTGGTGTTTTTGTGTCTAGTTTCTTGAGTTCTTTGTATATTTTAGAGATCAACCCATTCTGTAGGCGCCATTTTGTCTTGTTGACTCTATCCTTTGCCTTACAGAAGCTTCTCAGTTTCAGGAGGTTCCATTTATTAATTGTCAAACTTGTGTTTGTGCTACTGGTATTATGTTCAGGAAGTCGTCTCCTGCACCAATGCATTCAAAGGTACTTCCTACTTTTTCTTCTAAGAGGTTCAGTGTGACTGGATTTATGTTGAGGTCTTTGATCCATTTGGACTTGAGTTTTGTGCATGGTGATAGATATGCCTCTATTTGCTTTCTTCTACATGTCAACATGCATTTATGCCAGCACCATTTGTTGAAGATGCTTTGTTTTTACCATTTTGTAATTTTAGCTTCTTTGTCAAAACTCAGGTGTTCATAAGTGTGTGAATTAATATCAAGATCTTTGATTTGATTCCATTGGTCTACCTGTCTGGTTTTGTGCCAATACCAAGCTGTTTTTCTTTCTATAGCTGTATAGTAAGAGCTTGAAGTCAGGGATGGTGATGCCTCCAGAAGTTCCTTTATTACACAGGGTTGTTTTGGCTACCCTGGATTTTTCTTTTTCCATATAAAATTGAGTATTGTTCTTTCAAGGCCTGTGAAGAATTGTGCTGAGGTTTTGATGGGAATTGCATTGAATCTTTAGATTGCTTTAGGAAAGATTGTCGTTTTTATTATGTTGATCTAGCCAATCAAGCTGCATGGGAGATCTTTCCATTTCCTGATATCTTCTTTAATTTCTTTCTTTAAAGACTTGAAGTTCTTATCATAACGGTCTTTCACTTGTTTGGTTGGAGTTACCCCAAGATATTTTATGTTGTTTGTGGCTATTTCCAAGGGTGATGTTTGTCTGATTTTTTTTCTTACATGATATATCCTTATTACAGTTTCTGCTCCCCTACTCCAAGTTCCTTTCCACTTCCCCTCCCATCCAGATCCACCTCCTTTCTGTCTCTCATTAGAAAACAAACAGGCTTCTAAAGAATTATAATACAACATAGTATAACAAAAACAAACAAACCAGAACATTACAAAACAAACTGAAGGAAAAACATCAAAGAAAATGTACAAGAAACAGAAATAGATGCAGACATCCATTCATGCCCTTAAATGTTTTAAAGTTTAATCATTCTTTAGTGACATGAATTCATAGTTTCCACCTTGTGAATAGCTTTCCCCTCTTCTCTGCTCCCTACCTTCATTTCTGTGGTGAACTGGGTGCTACTATTGGATGTGACCACTGAAATAATACTCAGAAAGCCCCTTGGAAATTTCTCAAATCATCCACTTAGATATATGCAATACAATGCCTCAGTTTAGATTTCACAAAATCACTACTTTTAGGACAAATGCCTTTTAAAACATATCCACATGTATGATTGTTGTCTTGAAAAATACAGGATAAAATTTCCAAGGAATTATCTGGGGAATCTCAAGATAAAGATGTAGAAAATGAGAGAAGGAAAATTCTATGCCAGTCTGAAAAGTTTCTGAATTCCCCAGTTCTTATTAAGGAGCTCACAAAGGTAAGGGCATTCCATGGCACTCATATTCTGCCTTCAGCCCCATCAAGAGCAAGCTGTGGGCATCAGGCTCACCATGGTTCTTCAGGGACTTTGCAAACTCTTCTGTGAGGGGACCACTTTGTCAATATTTCTTTATATAACCTACAAATATGCTTTACTAAATTGTGTTTTGTGTGTGTATTTTTTTAAGATATACTTTAAGTACCCACTAATTCTGGCTGTGAAAAATATCTCCCTTGCTGTCCAAGAGAGGGAGTGCTTTGGATTACTTGGATTCAATGGAGCAGGTAAAACAACTACCTTCCAAATTTTGACTGGAGAAAGGACTCCTACCACTGGAGATGTATTCATTGATGGCATTAGCATCACCAAGAACATCCTAAAGGTAAGCTATTCCAGGCTAAGATGTGAACAGAGCAATGGTTCTAGGATGCAGGCAGTAGGCAGACGGCTAGGGATAATACATGGCAATGGTGATAGGCACAGATGTTGATGCTGTGGTTTCTGGGGAGGAAAATAAAATTTTAAAGAGAAGAAAGTTAATAAGAGCATAACCTAAGACAAGAGTTTCTTTTGAAACTGTAGAAGTGAAAGGCAAGTTCTCATTTCAGTGTAGAAGACATGCATCTCACGGGGCTGGAAGGGTATAAGGCAGCAAATATGAGCAGAAGATGAACCACACACAGTTTAGCAGCAACTAGGGCCTTGATCCATGTCACTGAGAACTCTAAAGCAGGATGGCCTTTCAGACTAATTGCAAATCAAAACAAGATCACCAACCTTTGTACCCTCTGCTGGCCACTGGCTGCAGAAGCTGAAGATGGGTAACTCTGGGAAGAAGGTGAGAACTTCAAGCAAATGACAAAGTTTCAAATTTCAGGAATCAACAGCACATATCAATCAGGTAGGTCCCTGAGGAGATAGAAGGACAGTGTGAACTGCCCACCTGGGACTGTCAGGGTGCAAAGGGGATTAGAGATTTGTCATCAGGAAACAAACCTGAATTGAGAATCAATATCCTAGTCAGAGAAAGTGTCATATTTCAAAGGAGACCAGACACACAATCTTTGCAGTGACTGGTTCTGCATCACAATGTCTGAAGAAAGGTTTCTAAGCCTCAGGCATCTTTTCAGCCTGCCATTGGAAAATCTCTCACATTTTATGTGATTGGTGATAATACTTAATTTGTTTTGTCTCTAAAATGTTCTTTAGCATAACTTCTTATCTTGCTGGCAATAGATAATGTAAAATTTACCACCTAATGCATTTCTGAATTCAGTGACACTGTGCCCCTTACCACAGGTTGTCTCTAGAAGTATTTTGTTATCCCAAACTGAAAAATCTACCCATTAAACAATAACTCTCCCTCCCTTCATTCACTCTTGGGGAACCACTGTTCTACTTTCTGACTGTATGAATTTGACTGTGTTTAGGTATTTTATATATAAGAATGTTCCTTTTTGCCTGGCATTTCAGCTGCCATTGTCTTTAAAGTTAATGTTGTATGATTATGAGACATTGTTTACCCATACAACTACTATGAAATGTACTAGTCAGGTTTCTTTCTTTCTTTCTTTTTTGCTTTCTTATTTTTTTATTTTAACTTTAAATAGCTTGTTTTACATGTCAATCCCGGTTCCCTCTCCTCCTCCCACATACCCCCACCATCCCCCCCCAGCCTCCAGCCCTATTGCCACTTCCTTCAACATAGGGGATATCCAGAGTCTGTCATTTCACTCAGGGCAGGGTCTAGGCACTCCCCTAAGAGTCCAGACTGAGAGAGGATCCCTCTTTGTGTTATGGACACATAAAGTCCGTTTGTATGCCAGGAATAAAACATGGATCCACTGCCCAGGGCCCCATAGGTTGCCCAGGCCTCCTCACTGACTCTCACACTCAGGGGATCTGGATCAGTCCCATGCTGCCCTCCCAGCTGTCGGTCTGGGGTCCAAGAGCTCCCCTGTTCAGATCAGCTGTCTCTACTGGTTTTGCCAGACCATTCTTTGCCAATTTGCTCATCGCTCCTCTCTCTCTCTGTCACTGGGTTCCTTGGGTTCAGTTCCGTGTTTAACTGTGGGTGTTTGCCTCTGCTTCCATCAGTCACTGGATGAAGGCTCCCAGATGGTTATAGACATCAAGCTCATTATCAGGAATGGGCATTCGAGGTGGTCTCTCCACTATTGCTTAGCTTGCCAATTGGTGTTATCCCTTTAGATCACTAGAGGTCACACTGGTGCCTGATCTGTCTTCTAACCTATGATTCCCTCTTCCCCCTATTCTACCCCTCCCACTCAACCTTCCTGTTCCCCCATGACCTACTCTCTCTTCCACGACTCCCCCTCTCTTCTTCCCAGCTCCCACTCCCCCCCCCCACCTCTCGCCATGTTCCCCATCTGTTCAGAGGACCTTGCCTCATTCCTCTTCTCTTGGGTACCATGCATATCTTTCAGGTTCATTCCTGTTTCCCAGACTCTCTGTCAGTGGAAGTGCAGACTGGCACTATTCTGATCCATGTGTAAAATCAAAATATGAGTGAGTGCATACCATGTTTGTCTTTTTGTGACTGGGTTACCTCACTCAGGATGGTTTCTTCCAGTGCTATCCATTTACCTGTGAATTTCAAGATTCCATTGTTTTTTTCTGCTGAATAGTACTCCATTGTGTAAATGTACCACATTTTCTCTATCCACTCTTCAGTTGATGGGCATCTAGGTTGCTTCCAGGTTCTGGCTATTACAACTAATGCTGCTATGAACATAGTGGAGCAGATGCCCTTGTTGTATGAATTCGCATCTTTTGGATATATGCCTAAGAGTGGAATTGCTGGGTCTTGTGGTAGATTGATACCCATTTTCCTGAGGAATCTCCATACTGATTTCCAAAGTGGCTGTATGACTCGGCACTCCCACCAGCAGTGGAGGAGTGTTCCCCTCTCTTCACATCCTCTCCAGCATAAATTGTCTTCGGTGTTTTTTATTTTAGCCATTCTGACAGGAGTAAGATGATATCTCAAAGTTGTTTTGATTTGCATTTCCCTGATGGCTAAGGATGTTGAGCACTTTCTTAAGTGTCTCCTGGCCATTTTAGCCTCCTCTATTGAGAATTCTCTATTTAGTTCTGTACCCCACCTCTTATTGGATCCTTTGGTGTTTTGGAGACTTGCTTCTTGAGTTCTTTGTAAATTTTGGAGATTAGCCCTGTGTCAGACGTGGGGTTAGTGAATATCTTTTCTCATTGTGTGGACAGCCGTTTTCTTGTTGACTGTGTCCTTTGCCTTACAGAAGCTTTTCAGTTTCAGGAGGTCCCATTTAGTAATTGTTGATCTCAGTGTCTGTGCCACTGGTGTTATGTTCAGGAAGTGGTCTCCTGTACCAATTCATTGAAGAATATCTCCGACTTTCTCTTCTAAAAGTTTCAGTGTGGCTGGATTTATGTTGAGATCTTTGATCCATTTGTACTTAGGTTTTGTACAAGGCAGTAAACATGGATCTATCTGCAGTCTTCTGCATGCCAATACCCAGTTATGCCAGCACCATTTGTTGAAGATGCTTTCTTTTTTCCATTGTATAGTTTTAGTTTCTTTGTCAAAAATCAAGTGTTCATAGGTGTGTGGGTTAAAACCATGGTTTTCAATTTGGTTCCATTGGTCTACCTGTCTATTTTGTGCCAATACCAAGCTGTTATCAGGACTATAACTCTATAATAGAGTTTGAAGTCAGGTATGGTAATTCCTGCTGAAGTTCCTTTATCGTATAGGGTTGTTTCGGCTATCCTGAGCCTTTTATTTTTCCATATAAAGTTGATTATTGTTCTTTCATGGTCCTTGAAGAATTGTGCCGGGATTTTGATAGGGATTGCATTGAATCTGTAGACTGCTTTTGGCAAGATTGCCATTTTTATTATGTTGACCCTACCAATCCAAGAACATGGGAGATCTTTCCATTTTCTGGTATCTTCTTTGATTTCTTTCTTTAAAGACTCAAAGTTCTTGATATACAGGTCTTTCACTTCCTTGGTTAACATTATCCCCAGATACTTGATGCTGTTTATGGCTATTGTATAGGGTGATCTTTCTCTGATTTCTTTCTCAGTCACTTCATCATCTGTATCTAATAGGGCCACTGATTTTTTTCAGTTTACCTTGTATCCTGCCACATTGCTGAAGGTGTTTATCAGCTCTAGGAGCTCCCTTGCGGAGTTTTTTGGGTCACTTATGTAAACTATCATATCATCTGCAAATAGTGAAAGCTTGACTTCTTTTCCTATTTGCATCCCCTTTATCTCCTTTTGTTGTCTTATTGCTCTAGCTAGAACTTCAAGTACAATATTGAAGAGATATGGAGAGAGTGGACAGCCTAGTCTTGTTCCTGATTTTAGAGGAATTGCTTTGAGTTTATCTCCATTTAGTTTGATGTTAGCTGTTGGTTTACTGTATATTGCTTTTATTATATTCAGGTATGTTCCTGTTATCCCTGATAGGACCTTTATCATGAAGGGGTGCTGGATTTTGTCAAAGACTTTTTCAGCATCTAGTGAGATGATCATGTGGATTTTCTTTCGCAGTTTGTTTATATGGTGGATTACACTGATAGATTTTTCTAATGTTGAACCATCCCTGCATTCCTGGGATGAAGCCTACTTGATCATGGTGGATGATTTTTCTGATGTGTTCTTGAATCCGGTTTGCTATTATTTTATTGAGTATTTTTGCATCGATATTCATGAGGGAAATTGGTCTATAGTTCTCTTTCTTAGTTGTGTCTTTGTGTGGTTTGGGTATCAAGGTAATTGTAGCCTCGTAAAAAGAGTTTGGCAGTGAGCCTCCTGCTTCTATTGTGTGGAATACTTGGAGGAGTATTGGAATTAGCTCTTCTTTGAATTTCTGGTAGAATTCTGCACTGAAGCCATCTGGGCCTGGGCTTTTTTTGTCTGGGAGACTTTTGATGACTGCTTTATTTCATTAGTGGTTATAGGTCTGTTTAGATTGTTTATCTGCTCTTGATTTAGTTTTGGCAAGTGATATCTATCCAGGAAATTGTCCATTTCCTTTAAATTTTGGAATTTTGTGGAGTACAGATTTTCAAAGTATGCCCTGATGGTTCTCTGGATTTCCTCAGAGTCCATTGTTATGTCCCTTGTTTCATTTCTGATTTTGTTAATTAGCATGCTCTCTCGTTTTGGTTAGTTTGGACAGAGGCTTGTCTATTTTGTCTGTTCTCTAGTTTCTTCAAGTGGGCACTTAGTGCTATGAACTTTCCAAACAGCACTGCTTTCAGAGTGTCCCATAAATTTGGGTATGTTGCGTCTACATTCTCATTGAATTCCAGGAAGTCTTTAATTTCTTTTTTTATTTCTTCCTTTACCCAGGGATGGTGCAATTGTGCATTGTTCAATTTCCATGAGTTTGTAGGGTTTCTGCGATTTGTGTTATTGTTGAATTCTAATTTTAATGCATGGTTGTCTGATAAGATACAGGGGGTTATTCCAATTTTTTTGTATCTGTGGAGATTTGCTATGTTTCCTATTATGTGGTAAATTTTAGAGAAGGTTCCATGTGGCGCTGAGAAGATGGTATATCCCTTTGTGTTTGGGTGGAATGTTCTATAGATGTCTGTTAAACCCAGTTGGGTCAAAACTTCTATTAGTTCTTTTGTTTCTTTGTTAAGTTTCTGTCTGGAGGTCCTGTCTAGTGGTGAGAGCCGAGTGTTGAACTCTCCTACTACTAGTGTGTGAGATTTTATTTGCGATTTGAGCTTTAGTAATGTTTCTTTCACGAATGTGGGTGCCTTTGTATTTGGGGCATAGATGTTCAAAATTGAGACTTCATCTTGATGGACATTTCCTTTGATGAATATGAAATGTACTTCTTCATCTCTTTTGATTGATTTTAATTTGAAGTCTAGTTTGTTAGATATTAGGATTGCTACACCCGCTTGTTTCTTGGGTCTGTTTGATTGGAAAATCTTTTCCCAACCCTTTACTCTGAGTTAACTTCTATCTTTGATGTTGAGATGTGTTTCTTGTATGCAGCAGAAGGATGGGTTCTGTCTTCATATCCATTTTGCTAATCTGTGTCTTTTTATAGGCAAGTTGAGACCGTTGACATTGAGGGATATTAATGACCATTGATTGATGATTATTTTTTGTGCTTGATTTATTGGTAGTGGAGTTATTGTGTGTAGGTTTTCCTCCCTTTTTCTTTTGGTGTTTCATAAAGTAGGATTGTATATTGCCTGTGTCTTTGTGAGTGTAGTTATCTTCGTTGCATCTAGGTTTTCCTTCCAGCACATTCTGTAGAGCTAGATTCATGGATAGGTATTGTTTAAATCTGGCTAAGGGACCAAGGAATATTTTGTTTTCTCCATCTATGGTAATTGAAAGCTTTTCTGGATATAGTAGTCTGGGCTGGCATCCTTGGTCCCTTAGTGTTTGTAGGACATCTATCCAGGATCTTCTGGCTTTCATAGTTTCCATTGAGAAGTCACATGTAATTCTGGTAGATCTATCTTTATATGTTACTTGGCCTTTTTCTTTAGCTGCTCTTAATATTTTCTCTTTATTCTGTAGGTTTGATGTTTTGATAATTATATGACGGGGTGACTTATTTTTCTGGTCCAGCCTATTTGGTGTTCTGTAAGATTCACGTATTTTCATAGGCATATCCTTCTTGAGGTTAGGGAAGTTTTCTTCTATGATTTTGTTGAATATGTTTTCTGTACCTTTGAGCTATATTTACTCGCCTTCTTCTATACATATTATTCTCAGGTTTGGCTTCTTCATGGTGCCCCATATTTCCTGGATATTTTGTGTTAGGCATTTGTTGGTTTTGAGATATTCTTTGGTTGACGACTGTATATTCTCTAATGAGTTTTCAACACTTGAGATTCTCTCTTCTATTTCTTGTATTCTTTTGGTGATACTTGCATCTGTAGTTCCTGATCATTTACCTTGCTTTTCTATTTCCAGCATCTCCTCGTTCTGTGTTTTCTTTATTGTTTCTATTTCAGCTTTCAATCCTTCAACTCTTTGAGTTGTTTTCTTCATTTTCTTGGTTGTTTTTTTCTTGGTAGTCTTTAGATTCTTTGAGAGATTTGTTTATTTCTTGAAATTTTCCCCCATTTTATGGATGTTTTTGTTTGTTTTTTTCTTCTATTTCTTTAAGAGATTTCCTCGTTTCCTCTTCGAGGGTCTCTATCATCTTCATAAAATAATTTTTAAGGTCTGTCTCCTCTGCTTCATCTATGTAGTGCTTTTGAGGTCTTGCTGGCATTGGTTCTCTAGATTCTGGTGGAGTCATGTTGGTCTTTCTATTACTGAGTGAGCTCTTATTCTGTCTTCTTCCCATCTCCTCTTCCAGTGGGTGCAGGTGGGGTCTTTCTGTCTCTACTGGTCTCCTTCTTTCCTGAAGCTGAAGCTGGGGATGCTGACACTGAACCTGAAGCTGAAGCTGGTGTCACCGGAGGTTGGGGGCCTGGAAGGGCTGATGCCTTTCCTGTGTGGACGGGTGTTCTGGATGCCAGGAGCGGTCCCCCAGAAGATTGAGGGGATGGGTATTGAGCAGGGGATGAGGAGTTGCCTCTTTTCTTGTTTTGTAGTATGTTTATAGTATGTATCTGTCCTCCAGTTCCCCTTGGTTTTTATATTTTATCCCTGGTCAAGAAATCACAGGGCCCTGCACTTCTATGAGAGCCATGCAGTTGCAATCTTTCCTCTTGAGAAAATTAGTCCAGGGCCTGCAAGTTGTTAAGGAGCCCTTTAATATACTGAGAAGATTTTTAGGTTGTATTTTTAAACTTGAAAGATTAGACATAGAAACTAGCCCAATCCTGAGTCAAGTTCTACAAAGCTTCATACAAACTCCACAGAACACTCCTTCACTTAAGGTCATTAATCTTTTTCCCTACCATCTATAGAGAGGACAATGCTGCCTTCTGTATTTAGTGTATGAGTGGCTTGGGCCAGTCCCTTTTAGCAACTCAGCAGTCATTCTTTGGGGACAACTCCAGCTGTGAGCTCAACCAGACAATATAATTATAAATACCCCCACACTCTCATTTTACTAAGTCTCATAAACTTGTTGTATTTTCATTTTCACTTATCTCTAAATAGTTTGTAAATTCTTTTTATGGTTTCTTTCCACTCATTGAATAATGAGGTGTCTGTCCTTGAACTTCTATGCCTTGTAGTGCCCATACCTGCCCTTACAGCAGTACATGCCTATTATGTTTCCTTTGTGATTTCTCTCTCTCTAGTAACAGTTGTGTGATATTTTCTAGACTTTCTCCACAAGCTCCCTTAGTTATTTTAGCATCTAAGATGGTTATTTCAAGTCTTTGCTGAGCATATTTGCCATCATAACATTTTTCAGGTTGGCAGTTTCCAATTCCCACTCCCATGAATGAACTGCATTTTCTATTTTGTTGTATGTTTGACATTTTTGCTAAAAACTGGACTGACAATGTGGTAACTCTAGCAACCGTATTCTTCCCCACTCTCTGATGTTGTTTATTGTTTCCTGTGAGTTTAGTTGTTTTTATCCATCTCTGAGCTTAAAATCAGTCTGAGATAGAAGCTGAGGGTCCTCACAGGTGTTTTCTGATCATGTGTGAATTATTTTCTGTGCATAGCTAGTCATTTTCAAGTTTTACTTGTATTGTGTTTTTATTATATCTTTAGGATATGGATCCTAAAGAGAGGTCAAGAGAAAGAAACTAAGGTGTGAGTGGAAAACACGCTATCCTTAAGAGCATTTTAGCCAAAGAGGAAGGGACTTGAACCATACCAACTCTACAAGCATGAATAATCTAGGATCAATATAAACTAATTATTAATTTAAGGTCATAGTCTTTTCTCTAGTTTTTAGGCTGTGTACACCTATTGGAAAATATTTTACATTCTAATACAACCATAATTTTTGAGCTCCTATTTGCAAAATGAAGGCTTTCTTTGTTTTGGGTTCAGCCTCCCTAAGGGACAGGCATGTACAGGGCTGTGCAGGTTGAACAGTAAAGAAAGGATTCATGCTGACCATGTTCCTCAGAGCCCCTGATTAAGAGGAAGACATATCTACAAACTGAATGGGACCTAGGACTTGTTTTCTGACTTCTTTATCCCCGTGACAATTAGAACTGAATTTAAGAACCATTCATTCCATTAGACTACAATAGATTCACCAGCTATAATTTTGTAACCCTTCAGAAAAGAACAATTCTGATAGGTCTCTTAGAAGCATGGTCTGGAGAACTGCACGCCTCATGCCTTGCCTATGAATTTCCACAAGGTGCTAGATGGCTTGAGTTTCACTTGCAGCAATTATTGTAATAGGTGAGGTCAAAAATCGGCTATTGTCCTCAATTTGATGCCTTGCTGGAATACCTGACTGGTCGGGAAATAATGATCATGTATGCAAGAATATGGGGAGTCTCTGAGCATCAGATTCAGCCCTATGTGGACATGCACTTGAACTCTTTGGGTCTGGAGCCCCATGCCAACTTTCTCATCAGCACCTACAGGTGAGCCATTATTCCCTAACTTCTTAACTACTGCTGTCCCTGATGCTCATAATGACTAAGCACTCGTTGTTCCTGGTGTTTGACACAAGTGCCCAAAGCTCCACCTAAGCTTCTCTGTCACACAGCTACCTGAGTATGTTACCATATGTCCTATCTTCATTCCTTTGCTGTGTTAAAAACACTCTAACAAAAGCAACTTGGGGGAGAAAAGGGTTCATTTGGACAGTCACAGTCCAACATCAAAGGAAGTCAGGGCCAAAACCTGGGCAGGATTGCTTACAGTTCTGTGCATCATTACTTCCAACCAGGGAATTCACTCATAGCCAGTGGTGTACAGATAGAATGTATGGAGGACGATGCTCGATAACTGGCTTGCTAACAGGTTCACACTTAGTGAACTTTCTTATCTAGCTCAGGTCCACCTACCTAGATGAGCCATTTGAATCAGTTAATATCAACATAATGCACCACAGACATAAGGAAAGTTAATAACTCGAGTGAGTCTTCTTCAGGTGATTCAAGGCCGTGCCAAGTTGACAGTTAATACTAAGTTAGATGCCATCTTATTCTGTTGGGTTTCAGATGCTAGTAACAGTTCCACATTTCAGAAATGAAACTTGATATCTTGATTCTATTTAAACTATGGTTTCTGAAACCTGAATCAGGTATGCTTTCTTATCCCTACTGTTGCTATGATTCTGTCTTGCAACTGAGAGAAATGGAGGCCTTCAAACTGGGATGGGGTTATGCATCCTAATAACAGCAAGTAAACACATGGAGCCAAAACCACATTTGTAAAATATGTTATATATGTGCATGCACAGATGTACTTGGACCTGATGCTTTGTTAAAGCCATATTGAATCTGAATGAGGATGTCTACATTTGGGGTTTGTTGGAACACTCCATACTAAGAATGTCTGTGCTAAGTCTTTCCTGGGAATAACTGATAGATATAATTTCATTTCTTCCACCACCCCCTTTTTTGATCTGAAGTGGAGGAAACAAACGTAGACTGAGCACTGCTATTGCCACAATGGGAAAGCCTTCAGTCATCTTACTGGATGAACCATCAACTGGCATGGACCCAAGAGCTAGGCGCCTTCTCTGGGACACAGTGATAAAGATTCGAGAAAGTGGAAAGGCCGTAATTATAACATCCCACAGGTGTGGCTCTTCGAAAGGCTTGGTTAAGGTTTGGCAAGAATTATGGTAGCAATGCTATACTGGCCAGTTATTTGGGGGTCAGGACTATTTAACAATATATTTGACTGAATAATGAGTTTATTTTTAGGAATTAAGATTCATGTTAATTTCAATAAATTGAATAGTCAAGAATCCTCAGTGTGTTTTTAAAATGAAAAACTGGTAAAGAACAGGGAGTTAGAGGTATATTGGTGTTTTGTTATCGATCCTTTAAAAATACACACTTCTCAGGACTTGGGGAGATAGCTCAATTAGTAAAGGACTTGCTATTCAAGTATGAGAACCTGAGCTTATCCCTAGAGCCCATATTTTAAAAAAACTGTGTGCGGGGCCTGGAGAGATGGTTTATTAGTTAAGCTGCTCTTCTAAAGGACCCAGGTTCAATTCCTAGCACCTACATGGCAGCTCATAACCAACTATAACTCTAGTTCCAGGGAATCCAATGCCCTCTTCTGACCTTCATGGGCACTACACACATGCAGATAAACACACACACAAGCACACACACACACACACACACACACACACACACACACACAGACATCACAGACACGCATGCAGGCAAGACACCCATACATAGAAAAATAAATTATAAAATATGTTTAAAGGTGGATGTGGTGGTACAAGGTTGTAATCCCAAGGCTGGATAGAAACAGGTAGATCTCTGGGGCTGACTAGGCAGCCTAACCTAAATCAGTGACCCTCATCCCAAGGCCCAGTAAGAGACAAGTCAGATGGTGCTTAAAGAATGACACCCAAGGTTGAATTCTGAACACCACAATACACTTCCTAATCATGAGTCTGGTGACTGGAAAATACAACTTGTGGTCGAAAACAAGATCCTGGAAACGTTTGACTGTACAATGTGCAGTGTCTTTCAAAGAACGTCCTAATTTCATGTTGTTCTGCTTCCTTGTTTTGCAAGCATGGAAGAATGTGAAGCTCTCTGTACAAGGTTATCCATAATGGTGAAAGGGAAGCTCACATGCCTGGGTAGTCCTCAGTACCTCAAGAACAAGTTTGGCAACATTTATATTCTGAAGGTCAAGGTCAAGTCTGAGGAAACATTAAAGGATTTTAAAAATTTCATCACACTGACATTTCCAGGTAAGTTAAGCCTCATTCCAATGGTGTTAGAGATGTGTTAAATTCCATGCTTTGTTCTCACCACCCACAAGGGTTATATTTTAAGTCTAGTTTCCATGTGTTACTGATGTTCATTCAGTGATCCTCCATACTTCCTTTGTTACTACAAACCTCTGCTGCCAGATTACACTAAGAAGTTTCACAGACAACAGAGGCTGTCACCAAACTCTGACAATGCATCCTAGGGCCTCTTCGTAATTTGTTCGATCCATATAAATTATACCTCTAAAGTCATATTTTAATATAATTCTCATTTGTTCTCACACATTCTCCATGAGAAGCATTAAGAAATATCCCACTTCGCATTAAGCGCCTTATTCTGGCTTTTGGCTATCAGTGCCAGCATATGGTTTTGAAATGCAAGCAAGCTGTAGCAGTTGTGTCTCTCCCTACAAAAATCCTTCTGCTTTTGAGTGACAAACTCAGTAAACACTCTCTACCCAGAGTACAGTGCAAGCAATAGCAACTATTTTCGCTTTACTGGCTTCTTTCCTAACCATAAAGGACTGATATAATAACAATTTTTAGCACACTCTTATAGGAGTTTCTGGTGTGCCTCAGGCTGTTGAGTTGCAATTTCATCTTTTGGGCAATGGAAAATATTATTTGTTGTACTGTAGGAATATAAATTTGAAAATATATTTTAACAATCAATGGTAAAGCAGACATGGAGAGCAGATTTGAGGAAAACCAAATAATCACTTTTGCATTGACCTTAGTGACTATGATTTCCCCACAAGACATACAGATGTATGTATCTGTAAAGAATTGGCCATGCTCCATACTATACCAGTGAGTATATGAGCAACAAAACTTGAACCTTTTTCTCATTTTTTTTCAGGGGGAGGTCACGAAATTGGGGGTTCAAACCTGGGAAGACTGAGGAGTGTGATAGGGGTGCATGATGTGAAATTCTCAAATAATAAAAATATTATATTGGAAAAACACTGAATTGAAATATCTTCACATAATAAAACTTGTAATGTTCCTTAGCAAACATGTTGTGTGTGTTCCTATATATGTATGTATGTGTGAGTACATGTGTATGCAGGTATCTACCACCTCTGCATGAATGCGTAGAGGCAAAAGTTGGGGTTGAAAGTCTGCCTCTATCACTGTTCACCTTACACTTTGAGGCAGGATCGCTCCCTGACCTTGGACTGGCTGATATCCTGTCTCTGACCTGAGATGGCTCAGTGGATGATGCGCCTGTCCTTCTAATTTTACTACTATTCAAAGAACAAAGAGCAGAGCCTTCTTAAATTCTTTCCAACAAGTTGTAGGAAAGGAAATACTTTCAAATTGGATACCAAAACTAGTCATGGGCAATACAAAAAAATTAGAGGCAATGTCCCTAATGGGCATGGCAAAGAAATCCTTAGCAAAACACTAGCAAACTTCATTCAAGAGCACAGGAAAATGATCATTCACCATCACCAAATGGGCTGAAGTGTCACTTAACATAGGCAAATCTGTAAATGAGATACCAAATTATCAGGGTGAATGACAAATGTATTCACTCATCTTAATGGAAACAGAAAAATATTTAGTCAAAATTCAGCATTTTGTGATTTATTCAACAGATTACATGCAATAGGAACTCTCCTCAACACTTACAATACTGTATGACCCAAGTCCACAACTGACATGAAACTCTATAGTTTGAAGCTGTGTGGCAGTTTGAATGAGAATGAATACTTAGTTCCCAGTTGCTGAAGGATTAGGTGAGGCATTGTTGAAGAGGTGTGTCACTGGCAATGGGCTTTGAGGTTTCAAAAATTGATACCATTCTCAGTGAGCTTTCTCTCTGTCCAATGCCTGAAGATTGAGATGTAAAGCTCTCAGCTACCACTCTAGCACCACACCTGTCTGCTTCTTACTTAGCATGATGGTCATAGACTCTACTACCTGCTAGAACTGTGAGCAAATCCTCAATTAAATGCTTTCTTTTATAAGAGTTGCCTGGCTAATGGTGTCTCTTTACAGCAATAGAACAGTGACTAAAACAAAAGTCAAAAGCTTTCCTTTTTTAGGAATCAGTAACAAGTTGGTGGGGTGTAAATTAGTATAGCCAGTATCAAAAAACAATGAACATTCCTTTAAAAAATTAAAAATATCACTAGCCTATGACCTAGCAACCTACTGCTAATTATACAACCAAAATAAGTAAAAAAGAATATGTCAAAGTGATATATTCACTCCCATTGTTTACCAAAGCATTATTCACAGTAGCCAAAAAAGAAAACAATTTAAAGATCTTTTGAGAAATGGTGGACAAAGAAAATATGATACACATAGGGGAGCTAGCGTGCACATACATGGTAGGGAAACTAATCCTGAAAAAATAAGGAAATCTTGTATTTGTGGAAACATGAGTGAAGCTAGATGACATTCTGTTCAATGAAACAAGTCATGTACAAAAAGACAAGTGCTGTATGATCTCACTAAGTGATCAACACTTAGATGTTGAATCTAAGGAAGTGGCATGGAAGTAGAGTTTATTGGTAGTTACTGGGTGCTATGGCGGGGTGAGGTTGGGGAGAAAGAGCATACAGAGATGTCACAGTCACTGTTCTGTTGCAGTGAAGAGACACCGTGACCAAAGCAACTCTTAGAAAAGGAAGCCTTTAATTTGGGGCTTGCTTACAGTTTCAGAGGTTTAGTCCATTATCATCACGGCAGGGAGCATGGTCTCAGGCAATCGTGGTGCTTGAGAAGTAGTTAAAAGCTACATCCTGATCCATAGGCTGAGAGGGAGAGAGACACTGGGCCTGGTGTAGGCTTATTGAAACCTCAGAGCCCACTCCCAGTGATATACTTGCTCCAACAGAGCCACTCCTCCTAATCCTTTTCAAATAGTGCCACTCCCTGATGGCTAAATATTCAAATGTATGAGCCTATGAGGGGACATTCTTATTCAAACCACCACAGAAGTAGATACATTATATAGTGTGAAGATTATAGTTAATATACTCTTAATAATCAGTTATAAACATAAAAATATAGGTATTTGAGATACCTTCTTAGATTTATTTAAGTATATATGTGTAACTGCTTTATTTGCATGTATGTCTGTATACTAGACATGTGCCTGATGCTCACAGAGGTCAGAAGTGGGTGTCAAATCCCTGAAACTGGAATTATGGATGATTGTGAGCTGTCATGTCAGTCCTGGGATTTAAAACCGAGTCCTCTGCAAAACCAACTACTTCTAACCATTAAACCATTTCTCCAGCACCAAAAGATACTATTTTCTTAACTTTCTGTAGCCATTCTGTATGCATATATATTTTATTATCGCATCAATTGTTATATTAATTTAAATAAGTAAGTGAATGAACTGAAAAGGTGGAAATGCCTTCAGTATTGATGGAGATATTGCTTATTTTTATGGGGTTTAGAAGCTGGGAAATTGCACCTGACAATGAATGGGTAAATATTACTTGACCTACATGGGTGGTTTTATCAGTGCTTTTTAAAATTTATTATGCTTTCTATTTGAAATATGCTACAATAAAAGAGCTTTACATGATCATACAATAATACATGCATTTACATCAATATTAATAAAATTACTCATTTCAAATATGTATTTTTCTTTAAAACATTTTAAATTGAAACATTTAATTAAAGTTGTAATGATTTATTAATTTACATAAGTTAATTATGGATGCATCTTTATCCCAATTGTGTTTGTAGAGTTGTATATGTAATAAAGCCAAGATCACAGTAGCATGACTGGTGATTTCTGTGTATGATTTCTCCTTGTGCATGGAAGGAAAGACATGGTATAATCATGAGAATGAGACAACCTTGTTGCCTTAGTTACTTTTCTATTACCATGAAAAAACACAATAAGCAAGACAACTTATTAAAGAAAGCGCTCAATAGGGGCTTAAAGTTTTGAAGCATTAGTGTCCATGATCACCATGGCAGGGAACATGGCAGCAGGTATGCACACATGGTTCCAAAGCTTTTATACCCTGATCTACAAGCATGAGGTAGCGAGGTGAGAGTGAGAGAGAGAGAGAGAGAGAGAGAGAGAGAGAGAGAGAGAGAGAGAGAATTGCCCGAGCATGGTATGATCTTTTAAAGCCCACCTTTGTGACACACCTCTTTCAACAAGACCACACTTCTTAATCCTTCCCAAACAGTTCCACCAACACTAGGGACCAGACATTCAAATACATGAACCTACGGGGGCCATTCTTATCACAACCATCATACTTGTCCTTCCTCCTCGTCCCTCAAAACTGTGCCCTCATACACACACACAACCAGAAAATCTCTAACTATTCTCAGCATTATGTTCAGGAATAAATACATTAGTATTTTAAAGATCAACTTTTATACTGTGTACATGAGTTGACAATCTACTGAGCTTACAAGACTCAACAACTGCCGTCAATTCTCTACAATTTACTATATATGTATACCAAAAAGAGTTTGTTAACCCAACTCTTCACCTTTGTATGATATATAACATTAAGCAGACACAGCACTATTTTTATAATTTTAAAGGAAATCTGTAAGTTTACTTACCTGTCCTGTCTTCCTGTCTTAGGTAGTGACTTGAAGCAAGAGAATCAAGGGATCCTCAATTACTACATTCCCAGCAAGGACAACAGCTGGGGAAAGGTGATGACCAATGCATGTTAGGGGATCACTAACAATGGGGGTACGTGGGATCCAGGCAGTGGAATTGTGCCTGATATTGTGGAAGCTGTGGAGTGTTTATGTTCCTCTTCAAATGCCTAGAGATTAAACATCTTTGATTACTACCCTTAAATTCCATTATTAGTTCATGTCCATCAAAAGAATGGGGACAGAAAACTGCCTCTTCCATTTCTCAATTACCTGTTTCTTTTGCTTTTTGATTTTGCCCTTCTGTGTGTCTCTTTATCTAACTTAATATACTTGACTAGGGAAGGGAGGAGGAGAGGCTACTCTGGGAGCTAGAGGGGAACTGCAATGGCAACAGTATGCTTTTGTTGTTGTTTAAGATGTTTGGCATTTTGGAGAAAGCAAAGGAACAATTCAATTTAGAAGATTATTCCATCAGTCAGATCACCCTGGATCAAGTCTTCCTGGCTTTTGCTAATCAGGACAATACAAGAAATGATTATGAGACAGAGGTGCCTTGAGATTCAGTTACAACCATTAATACTGATATATTTTTTGGACTACAGCTGGAATCCTGTGCTTGTATATCTTCATGTAAATTTATTTGTGCAATAAATACTTCCCTGAAAGAAAAAAATGTGTGTCCTCTTCACTGAAGATATATCTGAATGTACTGTTTCCAATAAGTAGGAATCTAAAAGCATTAAGAGCTGTTTTTCTCTCCTAGAAAAATGAAAGCCCTGAATTCATTTTTATAAGGACCTATTCTTCAATATTCTAAGTACCTGAGCATAAACATCTAGCAGTGATGGCACCATCAGATTTGTCCAAGTAGAAATGCATTCATTTTAGCATCCAACTATGTATAAGAAGAGCATAAACATAGAAGAAATAAAAATTTCCACAAACATGCACACAAAAATATGCACACACACATCTACACCAACTTACTCACTGATAAGTCTATGTTAAATTAATATCAAATTTTGATAGTATTTCCAAAATTCCAAGTAATGGTCTGTTACTTCATGATAAAAAGAGAAATTGAAGGTCATGGACAGAAGAAAAATAGTTCTTTAAAAAAAACAATGAACTTTTCTTTCTGTTCTTGCTTCCACTGTAATAAAGAATAAGAGAACAGAGTATACATGGAGTTGAGTGATACAAAGATTTTTCTCCTGATTCTTGTCTAGGAAGTAGGTATCTGCTAGGAGGGGTTTTAACATCTTATCATCTCTCTGCAATTCATGAGCAGACAAGTAGGATGGTTCTGAAAGATAGTCTATGAAGCTGCTGTGCATTAGGGTGGTTTCTTCAGTTTTGTAATGGCCAGAACCTGGAAGCTACCTAGATGCCCCTCAACTGAAGAGTGGAGAGAGAAAATGTACATTTACACAATGGAGTACTATTCAGTGGGAAACCTTGAAATTTGCAGGCAAATTACAGCACTAGAAGAAACCATCCTGAGTGAGATAATCCAGTCACGAAAAGAGAAACATGGCATGTACTCACTCATATATGGATTTTAGACATGAATCAGGGGAGTGCTAGCCTACAAGCCCACTGCCAGAGAGTCTGGGAAAAAGAACCTTCATCCAGTGACTGATGGAAGCAGAGGCAGACACTCACAGCTAAACACTGAACTGAACTCCTGGAATCCAGACAGAAAGGGAGGACTGACAAGCAAAGGGGTCAAGACTGGGCTGTTTTAACCCACGGAAACAGCTGACTTCAACAAGGGGGAGCTATTGGACCCCAGGCTGATGGCTGGGAGGACAGCATGGAACTGATCCAGACTCCCTGAATGTGGGTGTCAGTGAGGAGGCCTAGGCAGTCTATGGAGCCTTGGGTAGTATTTATCTCTGGCATACAAATGGACTTTGGGTGCCCATCCAACAATGAGAGATGCTCTCTCAGCCTGGACTCTTGGGGGAGGGCCTAGGCCCTGCTCTGAATGAAATGACAGACTCTGGAGATCCCCCATGGGGGGATTCACCCTCCCTGGGGATCAGAGTGGGGATTGGGAAGGGGGTTGGGGGACCTGAGGGGGAAGGGAGGGAGAGGGAGCTGGGATTGACATGTTGACATGTGAAGCAAGCTTGTTTCTAATTTAAATTTTAAAAAATGGAAAAAAGAAATTTTCAATTATAAAACAATACCCAGGGCTAATGAAATGGCTCAGTGAGTAAAGGCACAAGCTGTCAAGCTTAACAACCTGAGTTTGATCCCCTGGACCCTCCATGGTAGAAGAGAACTGACTCCAGCTAGTTGTCGTCTGACCTCCACATTCATGTGATATGCTCCTACCCCAAATAAATAAAATGTAATTTTAAATAGTTTTAATTATGTATAGAAGACACTATTTTTGTTCTTTTTATATAAAGGAGGATTTGAATTTATGAATCTCTAGGACGAACATTCTTTGTAGCTTTTCCTTTGGTATATGTAGCTTAATGCAAGTCAACAGAAAGGTATGATTAATTTCTAACGCAACATTCAGTGCTGTCCTGTATACCAAGTGGGGAAAGCCTTACAACAACACATATACACAACACATATACACAACACATATACAATAACACATATACACAAAGTATAAATTGAGCAATAAGAACCCCTTCATGGTGGCCATCATGAGGAAACAGAAGGTATAAATAGTACAACACTCCAGTAGGAATTTATACATATGATGAACATTCCAACAAATAACAGAATACACATCCATCTCAAGTGTATACAGAACATTCTCTAGAATCCACTAAATCTTGGATCTTAACATAAGCCACAGTAGGGGTGATTGTCAGGAGCGGGATTGAATTTCCACGTAAAACGATAAAAGCTTTAATGGAATTTTAGAAACAAAAGAACAGAGAAAAGCATGGGTTCTTGGTAGCAGCATTTTTCTCAGGTGGGCTCTGTTTTGCTAGCAACAAGCAGAGACTCACATGGCTTGCTTAAGGGAGTTTTCCTGACTCAGCATAAGCAGGAAAAAAAGAAAAAAAAAACCAGCAAGGTTCTTTTAAGAGGCTCTGCTAGCAATTGAAAGCTATGTATGTACAGCTGGAAGTGGCAATGATCATACCTCCAAGTCGGCAGCTTTTGCTGGATCTCAGCATAGACTGAGGCAGTAGGCTGGAATCACGCTTACATCCTCCATCTTGGAAAAACTGCAGTTTAAACAGCCGTGGTTTTAACAGATGAGACACATCGCCAGAAAAACATAAAGATTTACAGTAAAGTCAGACTTGGATGAAGAAAAACCTCTAAAGGTTTACAGTGTGTTTAAAAATATACGTAAGATTGAGAGAGAAAAAGAAACAGCATAGTGGTTGTAGGAGGAAGTCTGATGCCGCCATTAAACATGTGACTTATTAGAGGCGCATACAGATGAGGTAATAAAAGGGCGGTTTACCACACCGCTAACCACACCCACTTTAGGCAGGACTAAAGACGTATACGGCTGGACGTAAAGACGTATATGTACGTAGGCGGAACTACGTCACTAGCCAGGCCCACTTTTGGGCATGGCTAGGGGCGTTACGGGGGGAAGGCATAAAAGACAGCACACAGGAAGTCTCGCTCTCTTTTCCTGGAGTTCGGCTTCCGGTCCGGCCGCTAGCTGAGAACTGTTTGGCTCCTCTGGGTTTGGTATCTTGTGAGTAATTTTCTACATTAAATACTTAGCTTTACTGTCAGTAATTGTGTGTCGCGTATCGTTACAGCGTCCGTTTAGCCTACAAGTGGTAAATAAGTAGAGAAGCTGGCTGTGGTGGCACACGCCAGTAGGATTTGCTGCAGAGGCAGAGGCAGAGGCAGAGGCAAGCAGATTTCCAGAGAAACCCTGTCTCAGAAAAAGAAACAAAGAAATAAAAGTAAAAGAAATAGAGTAATAATAATAGATAAATAAATAAGCCACGTAAAGATGGAA